TTCGTTTGAGAAGAGTCAGATCACTGCATGCATCAAGCACAGAAAACAGAATAGAATAGAATAGAATAGAATAGAATAGAATAGAATTTATTGATCCCACAGTGGGGAAATTCACTTGTTAAGCAGCACACACACTTAGAAAGTAGGAAAAAAATATAATACAGGTAAAAACACAAAGGCAGTAGGCTTTTATTGTAAACTTAAAAAAAAATTATAAAAATAGAAATTTGAGTTTCCAGCATAACAGACACAGAAATACAAATGTTCATCCGGGTATTGCACAATGCATATCAGAAGATTGCAGAAACAACTAAAACTGGGTAACAAACTGTCCAACACATTATTAAAAACTGGTCTGATGAGTCCAGATGGACCCTGTTCCAGAGGGATTGGTGCATTGGGGTAAGAAGAGAGGCAGATGAAGTGATGCACCCAACATGCCTAGTGCCTACTGTACAAACCTGTAGGGGCAGTGCTATGATCTGGAGTTACTGCAGTGGTCAGGTCTAGGTTCAGCAACAGGATGTGCTCCAAGAATGAAGTCAGCTGACTACCTGAATATCCTGAATGACCAGGTTATTCCATCAGTAGATGTTTTCTTCCCTGATGGCACAGGCTTATTCCAAGATGACAATGCCAGGATTCATCGGGCTGGTGACATTGCAGAAGCTTATCGAAACTGCACAGCGAATGTGTGCCATAATCAAAGCCAAAGGCAGTTAAATGATATATTTGAGCGTGTGACCTTTTTTGTTAGTGGCGACCTTTTTATGAGCTGGGTAGAATTAATTCCTTCTGATTATGCTTCCAGTCTCCTCCCAGCGGAAATGCTCAGAAAAACTCTTGAGGGAGCCCATAACAACCTCAGCTGACTCCTTTTGATGAAGAGGAGCAGTGATTCTCCTCCAAGGTCCTCCAGGACAACAGAGCTCCTCTCCATATGTCTTAAGTCTAAACCCTGCCACCCTAAGGGAAGCTGATTCCAGTTGATTTGACATGACCTGACAGGGGTTATCATAGAGAAGGGTTTTGATGCCACATGAATGGATGCATGATGGTTAAGCTTTGGTTGCTGCGGCCAAACACCTGCATGAAGAAGAATCGGGTTTGGGAGCACTTGAGGGTGAAGGCTTGGGTGTGCTGATTTCCTAGATCAGAATCTAGTTTCATGTGTGCTGATTTTTCTTCAGGGAATCAATCAAAAAACCTGTTTGCAGACTCACAAATCCTGAGAAAATCTCGAAAAATTGGTATTCCTCTGACATTTACTCAGGCAGAGTAGCGGTGGCCCCTCTGTAAGCAGTTGATTGAATGTGATTTAGGAAATGACCTTAAAACACTCGCAAATGCAACTGGAAGAGAGGGAAGAAAATAGATTTCTGATTAGTTTTGGCAATGTGAGCGAACAACAGATGTCTCTCAAACTGGGTTTTCTATGTTTGGATTCATTTTGTCAGCAGGGGAATAAAATTAATAACAAAAAGTAGTGCAAAAAATGACCTTGGTGTAATTTCCATCATATGAATTTCCCCACTGTGGGGCAATAAAGGGCCGTTCTATTCTATAGAAATGAATCTAGTATAGTACATAAAATGCTAAACTTAATAGAAAAAATAACCTTTATGTCTGACAAAATTCAGCTTCTGAATATTTTCCACCTAGAATATCCAATAAATGTTCTTTAATTGTAAATGTCTTTTAGCTTTGTTGCAGAGATGATTGCTGTTGAACAACTCTTGGCTTGTTTGCAGAAGCTGTTTGATATTTTCTGTCATATTAACGATTAAAAAAAATCAACAGAAAAAAGATCCTAAGATCAAAACCCTTTAGAAACTATTCATCCCAAACAGAGATTTGGACAATTTTGACACGTTTTTCACTCAGAATAAGCTACCATCAATGATCCTTGCATTTGCAAGTTTTTAGGCAAAAAATGTTTTTGTGATTGAAAGATTTTTGTAAAGGGTAGGATTCTTTGGACCCAAGAATTCAGCAAACACGCAAAATGTGACCAACAGTCCAGGCGATGGCAAAGAGCAGGTGTCCAGATGGCAGGAACAGGGTCATGCTCTCAATGACTCAGCTTAACCTAAAAATGCTGAATTTTATCTTCATGAAGCTTCTGATAATCTGACTAGGGATGCAACGATACCACTTTTTTCCAAACCGATACGATACCAATACTTGGATCTGAGTACTCACCGATACCGATTACCGATACTGATACTTCTACCACACAAAAAAATGCAATAATTTGGAATACAGATTTTATTTTCTTCTCTGCTTTCAACAGGAAAAGACTGTGAGGTAGATAAAAAGTAAAATATATTAATATAAATCATCACAAAACTAAAATATTAGGTGAACAGAAATGACAAGTTACAGTGAAGCCATTTTCAAGCAACTGCATCGGTATCGGTTAACTTTTACCGATAGTGATACTGGTATCGTTATTGGCGCCAATACCGATACCAGTATCGTATCGGTGCATCCCTAAATCTGACACCACGACTGTTGCTGGAAGGATTTTTTATCCTGCAGAGCACAGGTGATCAAGGTTAAGGGATTGTGTGTAGAGATGTGGAAAACCATTCATAGAAAAGGTGCAGACACATGAATCATGACACCTATTGGTGACGTAGTGTGCTTATTGGCTAATTTATATTTTGCAAGAAAATAACCTCTGCAAGCAAAGGTGAACTGCACCTGCATGCATGCTTTTCTCAGGTGTTTTTATGATTTCTAGAATGTACAACTAAAACCAAGACTACAAGGTAACTGAGTATTTTGCAACAGGATCTTTAGTACATCTTTTTGTGCTCAAAAAAGCTCTATTACATTTTTAAAAGGATAAACAAAATAAAGCCTGTTTATTGAGAAAATTAATGTGCTAAACACTATAGTGTCATGTCATAGCAAGGAGGGCCTGACCATGTGACCTCTCATTCACCATGGAGACCTGGATAAGGGCCAGACAGCACAAAAACAGAAGAATCGAATATCAAGGACATCAGGTTTGGCACAGATTGGCGAGACTCGGGCTGCTGGTGAAAACACTCTCAAAGATTCAAAACATTAAGGGGGAGTCAATAATTGTACAAGGATGAGAAACGCTGTGGTTGTGTCTGCCACAGAGGCATCAGTAAAAACAGTGTTTGAGGAAGAGAAAGAAGATGGGGGAACTGTTCCTGTATTCAACAAAGCACAATAAAAGCACTGGTTTATCATCAGCAGAAACATTAAGCCGTAGCCATTATACACCTTCGCTATTAGAGACAAGCACAGTAAAAATGGATATAAAAACACAAAGAACTACACATGCCTGAGGCCAAAGAGATCATTTCCTTACACTAGCAAACAAATTAAAAACATTTATTATCTGAAATGGTAAAGAAAACACAAAGTTAAACACTTGAAAAATATATACATAAATTGTAGTATTATTTACTTTAACTTTAGCAGTTGGGTCTGTCTGAACCTTAACAAAAATGGCTAAAAATAACATTTTCTGATATTTAATTAATTGTAAATGAGATCATTTGTGTTCATTTGACATTGTTGTTGTTGTTGTTAGAACTGTTGTTAAAATGCCCAGCTCCAGTTTACTTTGCTGATATACGACTAAACAACAGATTATAGGCCTTGAAACACCAGTGAGTGTTTTCACTCCAGACACAGAGCCCGTAAAGTCAGCTTTAAAAGCATAAAAGCCCATCGGCCTGCTGAGTCACTAGTATTGATCCAAGATGCTTTCAACCCACGCTAATATTTATATATTTCATTTCATGCCATCAAGCAAAAACCCTTCAAAACATTGACATCATACATTTTTTTTCTCTTCAAAAGCTGCCTGAATTTATGTTAGCAACATGAAGTAATTCCCTCCAATAGCGTGGCATTTTAGTTCCGTAGAAATTTAGATTTTCTTTTAATATGCAGATCCAAACATGTACCAGGAGCACTTTTACATTTTCTATCATATTTTATACTGGATTAAATAATTTATAGTCACTATTTAACAGGATCTAGTTATGAGTATTCCTGAAAAGCTAATTTCTTTTAAATCTCAAAAGCAATTGTTTGTTTTGTTATTTTGTAGTTCTTATCCCACTCATACTGTGAGATTGAGACGCCCACCTGCAAACATCAACTTCTCATATGTATCAGTCAGTATATCGGTATCAGCAAATATCGATCAGCCATAACAGTGATCTTAATATCGGTATCGGCCCAAAAATGTCATATCGGTGCATCATTAATATAGATATATATCATAACAGTTGGTCATTGTAATGACTAAAAAACACGTTTTTATGTAGATTATTAGCTTAATATTTTTAACAAACCTTTTTACTCAAGCATTGTGTAACGTCAGAATCTGGTATTTTCATCTGCTCCTGTATGTATGAATGTCCCATTGTAGGCCTCCATGATTCATTCAGCTCTGGCCCCATACAGTAATTATTCATGACAAGTAACAGCTACAGCGTGTGGGTGGGAGCAAAGAAAAAAACGAGTCATGTTGACATGTTTCAGCAAGCAAAGGCGTCAAAATTGTTTATATGGGAGCCCTGGTGATTTCTGCACTGTTTAGCCGTTTGGCACACGGCAAATCAGTACTAAGTATACCGGTATGTTATTTTTCAGCCAGAGATAGTAACACGTTCAGGAGTTGTTCAGGGTAGTAATCAAGCGTAAAATGCGAAACTTAGCTTAAAATTGACGAAAAACGTTTGAGGAAAAACACCAGAGACACACTAAACCGGAACTTGTAATATTTCTTATAAAAATAAAGCGTTATTTCCGGAAAATCATGATTGGTTGTGCTCTAGTTTTATAGCTTATAAATAGTGCCGTTCCATCAAAAGTTGACAAAAACAGTTATTTTAATGTGAAATGTCAGTTGTTTGTTTTCACTTATCTTCCTCTCAAGTTATGGCAAACAGCTGGAAATTATTTTGAAAAATCCTACCGGAAGTGAAAGGAAAGCGTCGTACCTGTACAGTGTTTTGCTTTTCTGTCTTAAGTCATGTGACAAGTGAGCAAGAGGAGGCAGGTGAAGTTTTCTGTTGCTTCGCCTGCTCCTCTTCATCATGGAGGCTCGGTCACATTTCTACCGACAAGAAATCAACAGCACGATGTGGGAAGTTCCGGAGAAATACACGCGCCTCAAACAGGTCGGAACCGGGGCGTACGGATCGGTTTGGTGAGTGACTACCGTTCACCGGACGCGGGAGTGTGTGTGGGGGGCGTTTGCGACTCGCTTGTGCACAAACGAGTCGTTAACGACTGCTACACTGGCTGTATGTCGTCTTTGGTGGGCCTGAGAGACATTATAACCTGTATACAAACGTGTTTACATCACTGGTGACACACAGACAAAGTTGGCACCTTTCTCCACAACCTACACGGCTTTGTCACGTTTAAGCTCTTGACTTCCATCCTTTCTACCATAACGATTTTATTAACTTAGGAACAATATGGCTATTAAAGATGGGTCCTTATCACTAGCTTATATGTGTGTAGGGTGTTATAGCTGGAGAATATCGTGGATTTTATAACCATGCATTAATGTTTGTCTCATCCAGCTGATTATATAAACATAACAGATGGGGTGGTTTGGGATGATAAAGATTTTCAGGAATCTTTTAAGAGACCTGCCATTTTCCAGAACTGGAAATAAAATAAGTAACCTTTTAGGGGGATTTTTACTGGTTGTGCTTTTTGTTGTTGTTGCCGCCTGCTGTGGAATATACTGCACTATGCCTCTGTGATGTTTCGTGAATAACTAATATAATATTGTACTGTAAAGTCCAAATGTGTCCTTGACTGTTTAAAAAACAATATATGTATGTATATATATATATATATATATATATATATATGTATATGTATGTGTGTGTGTGTGTGTGTGTGTGTGTGTGTGTGTGTGTGTGTATAAATGTCACTCTTCAAAGTTGTATGGATAAAGTGTTATGTGGATAATAGAAGTTATTTGGTTGAGGACCTCTGCTGTGAGCTGGTCCTAATTTTTCCTGATTTCTCCAAAGGGAGACACCCCTCTTGTCATTAAAGAGGCAAAATCAGGCGTTTTAAACCTTTGAGAGCCAAAGTAGGCACAGCATATGATAAAATCGTACTGTCCGCTCTATTAAATTGTCATTTTATCTTAAATGTCAGCCTGTCTTTGTAACTAGAAATAAAAAGGTTTGTTTCAGTCAGCCCCACGTTAAGACGGCAAGGGAGGCACGCCAGCACACGCGCGGTTTGCAAGGACGGTTTCTTATCATTCATTGCTTTGTAGTGGTCCATGATTCTTTGTGGGTAATGAATGGGTGGAGTAAAGCTAAGTTCATAACTTAGATCGCAAACGTGTGTGTGAGCTGCGTCTAGGCAATTCAGTCGAACTGGGTTTGGTGGTATAGCGGTTAAAGCATCTGCCTTTCATCCTGTTTTGCCATTTCCTGATGATGGTTCAACCTCCCGTGATGGCAGCAATTGTTATTAGTGCGTCTTTGTGGACAGGATGTGTGATTTTTACGGCTGTACTTTGTCCCCAATGCAGAAGTATATTGTCAGAATATCCACTTTGGTACCAGTGGAGGTTTAAAGCAGTCATATTTGAAATGATGGTCAGACAAAAACATACCTAACTGTAGCATTGAAATTGACTGCTCTATACTCACAACTTGGATAACGTTGAGCATTAGTGACCTACTTCCAGGGAAGGCGTGTTTCAGATCTTCATAGGGAGGAGACAGGCCTGATGACACGCTTAGTTTTTATCTTTGTGTCGCATGTTTTCCCTCAGAATCTGATGCAGTTGAGACAGGAAAAACGGGTTTGGGGGAATTTTTCATGAGAAATACCTATATCATATGGTAAAAAGCTCCTTAAACTGGATTTTCCATGATGGCCCCTTTAGGTTCTAGGCATTTTTCAAGGCATGTTTAAGCAGAAAGAATAGGGAAGAGACAGGTGTGTTAACAAGGGCTGCGTTTCCACTTCAGCAGCTGTGCATGGTGATTCTGTTAAAGATGCTTCCTCTAAAGTGAATGCAACATCTGTCATGAAATAGACCTATGATGCGTGGTTTTAGGTGTGTGCTTAAAAAAAAAGCTTTTTTTAAAGTTTTTTTGACTATCAAATAAATATTTTTAGTGGAAATAATTGGGATGGGCTCCAAAAGCCCTTTTATGTTTTATTTTTACATGCATCCTAAGCACTTTAGACCACACTTTGGACATTCAGACACCTCAGAAATAATTATGCGGTAACGTGACATAGCAGTTTTGGAGCACATAGTAATTCTTTCCCCACTAAAACATGAATATTAAAGCTGTTTATAACACAAAAACATCTTTATTTTAAATATTAGATGGTGGCAGAAGTCTAAAATTTTAAAAGCCAAAACATTTTGTGAACCGGTTTACCTTTGTTTGTAATTTTGCTCTGTTTAATAACCCACAAACTAAAGCAACAGTAGGTAAGATAAATAGAAACATTACTAACATCTTTCGTCTGTCCTGTCTGCAGACCTTGATGTGAATGTGCTGCTGCAGATGTAACTAACTATGAAATCCTACATTACTGTGTTGGTGTCGTAAACAGAGCTGTACTCACTGGATTGTATAAAGTGTGTTGGTGGATGCAGCTTGAAATAATCCAACAAGCCTCTCCTCCCACACATCAGTGCCCTGCAGATCACTACAAGCGCGCACATCAAAAGTTACCAAACATTTAAACAAAACCAATAGACCATCACTCCGAGTGCCCCGTACATTAATGTATCAGCATCTGTCATCACTTGTGTTTGCTACGAAAGTTTCACCATTGAAACCTCTAAATCAATCATCCTGTGCTTTTCCCCACTGCTCTGACTTTGTCAGAGGTAAACCACAATGAAGCGAGAAACGGTTGTGTAGTTTTGGCACTAAGCTAACTATGTGTTGTACTGTCTTTGGATTTTCTCTGCAGCTCAGCAATAATTGAGAAGACTAAAGAGAAAGTGGCCATCAAGAAGCTCCACAGGCCCTTCCAGTCAGAAATATTTGCTAAGAGGGCTTATCGAGAGCTCCGGTTACTCAAGCACATGAAACATGAGAATGTGAGTAGATTTAGCAAATATAAACGATTATAGGTCTTACGTGTTTTCTTTACTGTACATTTATGCCTTTTAGACATAATCACTTGTGATTATTCCCTCTCATTGCATATAGGTGATAGGACTTCTGGATGTGTTTACACCTTCCTTAGGCTTTGATGACTTCCAGGACTTGTGAGTACCTTTGGCGTATGCACCTTAAACTAACAACAAACAGCAGGATTATTACACATGAGCACGAGCCATCTGCTGATTTTTATTTCTTTTATGGTTTACTCAATTACTTTTTCTGTAAAATGCTAAAAGATCATTTCACTTGGCATACGCTGTCTTTTTTTGTGCAGGGGTAGATGAGGTAACTGTTCGACATGTTTCAACGTGTTGTGCTATAACAGAAAAAATCCTGGAGAATTAAGTCAAATGTTTTTGGTCATTTGGTTTGAATGAAGGTTTGTGTAAATGCATGTTGAGGAAACCGCACGTGCTGAAACCAAAACACCATCAAATGTCACTTTTTCACAACTTCTTCAGGCCTCAACTGGAATTACTGCCCTGAACAGTAAACATCAGCCTCAAAAAGAGTTAGCGACAGATAGATGAATCACTTGATTAGATGACCTAAATGTATAAATAAGTCATTAACTGAGCACATTTAAACTGGATGTAGCATGCAAGTTTGTAGATTTTGCGCATTAAGTGATTTTTGTGTTTGGTTTTTTAAAGCCTGTGTTTAGGCAGCTTTTCATAACAGTGTTAAACCATGGGACCGTTTATCTCGGGGTTGTCAGTCTTCCTGTTTTCAAAATGGCCTAAGAGGGATGTAGTCACTGTTTACACCCCTGCGGGGTTGCTGAGCCTGTGCCGATTCGGCACTGCAGTGCCAGAATTTGGAATTCAGCAGCAGCCGGGAAAACTCGTAAGCGTTTTCTAAAGATCCTAAGTAGGGATGGGTACCTTTGACATTTGAATCGATCCGGTACTAATTCCCGGTACCTAGGAATCGATACCGGTACTTAACGGTACCAATTTTCGATACTTTTGAGTGTTTATTATTTTAATTATCTTTTATAATTAAATATTTTTTTCTCAATATATAACAATATTTGATAAATATCTCGATAAATAACATTCAACTGTTTGTATTTTAACATCGTCCTTGTAGTTTTATAAGCTGATAATTAAACTGAAGCAAACATCTTTACTGTGAACTAAATTTACTGTGTATCTTCATTCCTTTTGCCGTCCTTTTTCATTTGACTTTTCCTACTGGGAAGTTAGAATTTCCGAGGAGAAAGCGAACGCACCATTAGCTGATAACAATGGTAGCAATGGAAGCTAACATATCAAGCTAACGTTATCTTAAACAGTTTATTTAGCTGCTGGAGCAGATTAAAACGATGCTGCCTCACACTTAGATCGTTGTCGCTAGTTTCATCTTCATCCAGTCACCCGTCGCATTTAGTAAAGTGAAGCCAAACTTTAGAGCGCGTTCATGTTCTTCCAGTCGGAACTTCGGAGTTCCAAGGAGAAAGCGAACGCACCATTAGCGGAACGGAAGCTAACATATAAAGCTAACGTTATCTTAAACATTTTATTCACCTACCGGAGCAGATTAAGATGAGGATGTCTCACTTAGATCGCTGTTGCTGGTTTCATCATCACCCAGTTACCCATCACATTTAGTGAAGTGGACCCAAGCTTTAGCGTGCGTTCTTTCTACCATGCTGCTCTGTTTACAACTGGCTCGCAGCGAGCGACGACATAACGCTCTTGCGCATGCATAGCTGTCTTGGCAAGTTCTCGTTATGAAGGACGGGTACCGAAACGAGGCACCGTTTGAAATGACGTGAATCGGTGCTCGGTCGGTACTATGGAATTCGGTCGGTACCTTAAAAAGTACCGAATTCAGTACCCATCCCTAAGCCAGTAACAGGAATAACCCACAAGTAATTTCTTGTACCCCTCTTGTATCTTCTAGTGCTGAGCCATAACTGGCAACAGCCGTGAAACTCATGGAACGGTAATAAGAAGGTGACTCTGTGTTCAGAAAATGGGCTGCAGTAACCAAATTTTGCCACAGGAAGTCATCCAAGCGTCTCTCTTACATAATGCACCTTTAATTAAATTCAGATTAAAAGACATGAGGAGTTCATAGATTTCACATCATTCAATTAATGAATAGTTTTTTTTTTTCATTTATTGGAGGATTTAGACTATCCTCAAAGTGTTCTTTGATTTAAAAATATTATTTTCCTTAGATCTGTAGTGGAATGCATTGAATTGTACACTTGATTTAGTTTAAGATACACATGAAAACCTTAAAGAGGCTGACTACTGTCTGTTGAACATTCAAAAATAACACACACTTCTAATTGAGAAGCTTAAACTGCACAAATTATCAGGATGTGGGTTTTAACAGAACATTAACACCATCCACACCCCTCTGACTACACCTCGTCTTGCTCTGCCTCTCCTCATATTTTTCTCAGCTATCTGGTGATGCCCTTCATGTTTACTGACCTGTCGAAGGTGAGAGGTCAGCTCTCTGAAGACAAAGTCCAGTTTCTTGTCTATCAGATGCTCTGTGGACTCAGGGTGAGACTTTTCCCAAATATTCTTTCTTTTTTTTTATCACAATGCATCAGAAATGTGGTTTTATTAAAACCAGGCAAAGCTTCACCTTTTCCTGTCATTTTGGGATGTGTTTCTGTGTAAAAGTTAGTTTTGTAGCTAGCTTCCTAAACACGGCTAGTTGCCTAAATTTCCCAGCAGTTCCTATTTTAGTTTATAAACTTTTACAAGCTATCAATTTTTCATCACAGTGCTGTTAATGTGGGTTCACGTACAGTGTACAAGTGTACTTAGCAGCCTACGGTGGCCTAAAAGGTTTAATGAAGTATAAAAGCCACTACAACGTGGCAAAACATGGAAGAAGCCGCAACTCAAAGAGAAAAGCAACAACACAATGACAAACTCCCCAATACAAATACAATACAACAACAAAAACCACAACAGAAGTCATAAAAAACTTCTACGGGCGTTGTACTGGTCTTTCATGGTGAAACGAGAGCTGAGTCAGAAGGCAAAGCTCTCGATTTACCAGTTGATCTACGTTCCTACCCTCACCTATGGTCATGAGCTTTGGGTAGTGACCGAAAGAACGAGATCGCGGATACAAGCGGCCAAAATGAGTTTTCTTCTGAGAGTGGCTACTTGGAGTGGCTCCTTATGGGCCATTCCCATCTGTACCGGGTCGGCCCGGGCCGGGTAGCATAGATTGTTTACATATCTGGGTGGCCTGGTATTTTTCCGGGCCAACCAAGGCTCGTTCTCAGCCCTCTTCTCGAGGGGGTCTGCTTCAGGCCGACCAGGGCCAACACACCCATTGCTGACAGCAAATTCACAACTTCCATTAGAGCAAGCCTCTGATTGGTGGGTAGAATCAGCCCACATGGGCTTAAGACAAGGATGTGTGGAATCAACCGGGCCAGGCTGGGCCCGACTGGTGCTACCCGGCCCGGGCCGACCCGGTACAGATGAGAATGGCCCATTTGAGATAGGGTGAGAAGCTCGGTCATCCGGGAGGGGCTCGGAGTAGATTTGCTGCTCCTCCACATCGAGAGGAGCCAGTTGAGGTGGCTTGGGCATCTGGTTAGGATGCCTCCTGGACGCCTCCCTGATGATGTTTTCCGGGCACGTCCAACCGGGAGGAGACCTAAAGGTAGGCCCAGGACACGTTGGAGGGACAATGTCTCTCACCTGGCACGGGAACGCCTTGGGATTTCCCCAGAAGAGCTGGCCCAAGTGGCTGAGGAGAGGGAAGTCTGGGCCCCTCGACTTAGGCTACTGCCCCTGCGACCCGGCTCTGGATAAGCAGATGAAAATGGATGGATGGATGGATGATGGATGAATAATAAAAAGAGATAAAAATTAAGTTAAACGATTAAAAACATCAGTACATGCCTCTGCATGCTATTGGACAACAAACAACGAAGTTCCAGCTGACCATGACTTTTCTTTTTTACTATTTTATTTTACTTTTATTGCTTGTCGATGTGTTGAGGCTTTTGTATTTCATTGAATGTTCTGGGCTACCATAAGCAGCTCATCCAATCCTCCAGTGTTCCAATCTAGCAGGAATTTTTACATATTTAAGAAAATAACCCAAAATGTAAAAGCAATGTTAGTAAAGTAATGTTGTATAAATCCGCTTTTGTACGGGCTGCATTCAGACTAGCTGTTAGCTCATTAGTCTTGTGGCAATAAAACAATTACCTTAAAATGTTCTGAAGTAATATTGAAACACAGGTATTTGATTTCACGCCAACTCAAACACAAACATGTTCCGGATTTACCATGGTTAATGAGGAAATATGTTAGAAATGCAATACTTCACAGTAATTTCATAATGCACAGTCTTCTCAGCTTGTGCTGTTAGATGAGTTTTAAGTACAACCATGATGAACCAATATTTAAATGAGCGAATTAAAACTCATGAAATGCTATAAATTTAGCTTGTGCAGTAAAAATGTTTGCTTCCTTTTTCGTTTGTCTCTGCAGTACATCCATAAGGCAGGAATCATCCACAGGGTGAGTACCAGTCATCACACAGGCCGACTTTTATCATGGAGGGATTCTTTTCAACAGAGTTTCTGTTGGGCTGGTTTTTTTGTTTGTTTGTTTGTTTTTAACTTTGTAGTTTAAAAAGTTATTTTAAGTCAGACTGGGACCTGCTCAAACAGGTACGATGAGTGGTGTTTAACTGCCTGGGGTTATTAGGCCACGCCCTTTGGTTCCTGTGGCAAAACTTGTTAAAGATATTTGCCAGACTCTGCATGAAAATTGTAGAAATTAAGTGTAACAACACTTTACTATCTATAAAAAAAATTAACTGGGTTCAGTTTGTCATTTTGTTGAGAAATTTTGTCATAAATCATTAAAGGAAATAAAAATGATCTCCTATAAACAGTGAAGAGCTGTGTTTTGCATATGTCACTCAAAGACGTCTTACAGGCCAGCTGCTGCTGCCAGTACATCGTGATTTGCGGTATTTTGTTCAAATTTGTGCTCTCAATTATTATGGAAATTTGCCTTTACAGCTACAGCAAAGATTTTGAGTCCTACAGACATTTCTAACTAACATGAGTTTGATTTAAAATAATAACCTATATATTCCATTTGGAACCTCTACCGGTGCTTATGGCCGCCTAACGAGTCCCGTTAGCATGACTGCAGCAATACTGCTAACCGTGTTAGCTCCAGTAAGAAAAAAAATAAGTCATTTGGGAAAGCTACGAGACACCCACACATAAATTGGATATAAAAGATGATCCGCTTATTCACATTCAGCATTAGATCCTCCTGTGATTGGTAGAACCTCTGTTCCATTCTGGATTACTACAAACAACAACCAGAGCTAGCGAGCTACTGCAGCATCCCAGTCAGTCAGGAAAAGAGTAATTCTGGTAAGTTAATTAAAAATGACAAATTTTCCGAAGATGTATCAATGTATACACGCAGTAGTAACACTGGCAGCACATAGTTTTATTTTTCTGTAGATTATTGGATTATATGCTGGGACAGTTTGATGGAGCTAAGATCTTTATAGTCCGCTAAGAACTTGACAGCTGAGAGCTCCTGGTGGGAGTGCTATGAGCACATTAAATATTTAATAAAAGTAAAGAAACTGTACCGGTTTTGGTTCTGAAGATAAACTGAATCCTCCTCGGTGTCCAGGTTGGCTCGTAGGTCTTCTGAGTCAAACTGTCGTTCCTTAAAAACATAAACAGTCCAATCTAAGACATAATCACCTCCTAGCTTGGATTTTATTGTTGTCTCCTGATTATCCAACTATTAAATGATTAGATATTGGATAAATATATATTAGGGCATATCAATTGAAACAAAAAAAATGTGAACAGTTTTTAAAGTGATTTTTTTTAGTATGATTGTGTTAATGTTTTTTTTTTGGCACCTTTGATCCAAAGCTTTCCATACACCCCCTAGTGGGTGAGGCAGGGGTGTGAAAGAAGGTGTGTTTATAAAGTGAGAACATCTATGGTGCAGGAGCAGTTTTTATATAGTTGATGTGGCATTTTGACCGTGATGACATCTCGTCAGAGGTAGCAGAGTCTCTCAGTAATCGTAATAATAATAATCTGTTAAATATAAAAATAATCTGCACTTTTGAGTCTAGTCAGTCTGCAAAGCGAACCATTGTCTTGTGCTCTGCACTGCAGTTGTCCTGAATGCTGCTGAAACCACTCAAGGACCCGGGACTTCCTGTTTTCTCTTTGTCCCACAAATCGATTTGATGTATCACTTCTCCCGGCTTTTCCTTGTGGATGAGCAGCGATGTAAATCAAACATTTGTTTTGGGACATGCTAACGCAGAAATCTCACAAATACAAGATTACTGAAGTCTTTCTTTGTCTAATTTATAAAAGATTTTGTTCTTCAACTTGCATTGAAAAAGCTTTAGTAAGAATGCATGATATATCTGCATAAATATTCAGTATGGGCTGATGTTGGTCATTTTTAACATATCAATATCGGTCCGATAAGTAAAACCGAGCCAATACTAACTACCGATATTTTATTTTTCATCTTGTTGCCATTTGGTCATCTGTTTAGAGGGTAAGAGGAGTGATGTTGCATAATTGTTTAGTCATGTGACAGTGATGGCAATCATCTCAGAAGCGTAAATGTGTGTGGTGTGTATATATTGGGAGGGGTGGATGTGCGAGAATATATACCATATATATCTCAATATTAAACAGAGGATACAATATATTGCGATACTAATGGTCGGACAATATTTGCAATTTTTTTAGACTGAATTTAAAGAGCAAGTCACCCCCAAATCAACTTTTTTTGTTGATAAATTATATAAATGAGTGTCTAATCGCTCTGTAGACACGTGCAGTCAATAATTTGGCACTTTAGTTCATCTTAGTTAAAATTTAAGTAATCTGCCTAAAACTGTCAGTATTGCGCCGTCGTCAGGTAAAAACTGCACTGCATTTTAATTTAAATCTGCCATCGCTATTGGCTAAGAGGTACACTATGACATTAGCTGGTACATTATGATGTCACAATGCTGTTGTGAGCCTGTGTATGTGTGCATATGTTAGCGGCTCCACCCTCTTGATCTTCCAGGCAACAGCATTTGTTGCATTTTTCAAACATGAAGTGGGAGTGGAATAAGACTCTGATAGGGGTGACTTGCTCTTTAATTGAAAACTGGTCAGACGCTTCTAAAACACACCCAGTGCTATCAGGAGATCTTGTTCCATCTGAATGAAGGTGGTGATTACTGCTGCTACCTAGCAGTCAGACTTGAATTGCACCACACAAAAGAAATAAAGGAAAAGTTTGCATGCAAATCCTCAATAAAAAATCAATACACTGCTTCTTTATAGCAGTTCAATACCTGAACACAAAACGTAGCAATATTTGAGTGTATCTTTATTTTCTTACATCCCTTCCTATATTCATTAAATGTTGGTTATCGGATATAACAGTGACTTTAACTTCGGATATCAATATCTGCCTACATTTTCACGTTGGTGCATCCCTGGTGCTTAATTTTTAAATAAAAATACAAAAAATAAATGTATTTAAATCATATTCCTCTGAAATAAGATTTATATCGATATGGCTTTAATAGAAATTTATCATAATCTTACAAAGAGAAGGTTTTTTTTTCCCACCTGGCATAAAAGATGTTGTGTAAAAGGTTGTCATGGTGGGCAGAAATGACCTGCTGTAATGGTCTTAATTGCAGTGGAGCTGAAGAAGCCTTTGACCAAAAACACTTTGCCGTTTCATCAGTTTTGTTATATAAGAACTTTTAAGGTCTTTATTATGTTGAGCGACTCGTGCGGCATGAGAACGACATTAATCCTCCTTGTGTTTCCACTTTCTTCACTCCTTAATTTTATTTAGCTATTTTAATGATAACATACTAATTCATTGTTGCACATATTAGCTGTGACATTGGATGGACTGTAAACATTTGTGTTTGTGTGTAAAAATGGTGTTACCCTGCTATTACTGTGTTCATTTGTAAAGAGGTTGAAGTGTGAACACTCAGTGACCAACTTTATCACATCTGCAAAAATGCAAATTGGATTTTATGCTTGATTTGTTGCCGAGTTGCATAATTTAAACATTCAAAGAAAACAGTATTCATGCATTGAGACAAGCAGCCGACCCACCTGGAATTAATACAGAGAGTTTGGAGTCTAAGCTCTAAAATCTCTTAATTGCTATCTTCTGTAAGTAACCATCACTCAACTCATTTTCTTCACAGGATCTTAAGCCTGGAAACTTGGCTGTTAATCAAGACTGCGAACTAAAGGTTGGTACTTGTGGGGATTACATTAAGAAACTCTTACATAAAATGGCAACTTCAAGAGCAAAATCAGGTAAAAAGTGGATTTGTGTGCGGCATGGCTCAAAAAGGTTGCCTCGGGACACATCATACAATAGTTTATGCTGTGGAATAGGGATGCAAGAAAATATCAATACACTGAAACATTGCAACATAAATATATTGTTGATGTAATGTTTATAATGCCATAACAGTGGATGTGTCTTGGAAGAATCTAGCCTGAGTTTTCCAATTAAATTCAGTCTTTAAATGGCTGAAATGTTGTATTATCTCACCTGTATTGTGATATGCATCATATCTTCAGATTCTTGCTAATACACACCCTTAATGTGGAACGCATGAAAGTATTATGTATGTATGTTTTAATGAATGTTTACCATTGGAGTCCAGGTGTAAACTGTAAAAAAAGGTGTTTGAATCGATGGGGGGCTACTGATCGTGATTCTTTTCTCTAATTTACCGCTGGGATTAATCTCTAATTTCCCTCTGGGATTAATAAAGTATTATTGAATTGAATTGAATTGAATTTTGCTTGCTTCTCCATCAGATCCTGGACTTTGGGCTGGCTCGTAGTACCGACGCAGAGATGACAGGCTACGTGGTGACCCGTTGGTACCGGGCGCCTGAGGTCATTCTGAACTGGATGCACTACACCCAGACTGGCAAGATAATTGTAGCTGTTACATATTATTACAGTAACATTGCGCTGCAGATCACCCTGGTTTCACGGGTCAGAAAGCTTTGCTAAGTCATTCACTTGTTTCTGAAATGAATTTGAAGATCCAAAGACAGACAGGATTTTTCTTCTTCAGCTGGATAGTGTTGTTGCTTAACAACCAAACTGCCAATGCAATGAGACTTTCTGACCCAGGATTTGTGTTTCTGTTAAATAAGATGCTCTTTTTGGTTTTTTAACTTCTCCTGCTGAATAAAATGTGGCACAGAAATTGACCTTTGCACCCTTAAGACAATCTCACTCATTAAACTCCCCCTTGGTTGAACCAGCACAACAGATTTAGCTCTCTGTTGTAAATAAAAACCGGACTGTTAACTTTATTGGACTCGACTAAACTCAAAGCTTTGCTGTGTGATCTTTTTGTTTTACTGACGTTTAATTTCTGTTTACGTTTCTAGTGGATATTTGGTCTGTAGGTTGCATCATGGCAGAAATGATCAACGGGAAAACCCTCTTCAAAGGAAAAGACTGTATCCTTTCATGTTCTTTGTTTTTATTCTTGTAAAAAATTGCTTCATAATGTAAAGATGGAAGTGTTGTGTGATTTCTAAGCAGTTTTTTTTATTTATTTTTTTTGTTTTTACCTTGCCAAACAGCAAATTAATAACTTTTTTAATTAAATGGTGACCGTTTTTTTATGGACACAATATAAATCAGCATGAGTAATTAGAGGAAATCACATGCAATAAAACCAACATGCACCCTGAAGGAAACGCCTATAAAGTTATTATATTTTACTGATTTATGAGGCCTGCTTACATATTAAACGATCAGTTTTATTCAGCTGTTTCTTTAGCAATATTATTCTTTTTTATGGGGTTTCTTGGTAACAATATATCCAACCTATTTGTGAACATTAAGCTTTAAAAAAGAAAAAACTTCCTTTACTTGTTTACTACCAGACATGGACCAGCTGACTCAAATCATGAAAGTGACTGGAGTACCTGGACCAGAGTTTATTCAGAAACTGGAAAGCCAAGAGGTCAGATAAGTCCTCACAAAGTTAATGAGTTCTACTTTTTTATTCACTGGAAGCGACTTCTTTTGAGATTCATTTGTTTTGTCCACTGTTTCATTGTCTCCTATCGATATATTAAAACTCATTTTATTTATTTTCAAATCTGTTTATCTTTTGGCTCCAAAACAGGCTAAAACTTATATAAAGTCCCTTCCTCGTTACCCAAGAAAAGACTTCTCAACATTGTTTCCTGTAGCCAGTGAAAGGGGTGGGTATATATGTTTGTTGTTCTCAGTGTAATTTGTAGCATTAATAAATGTGATCTTTACTTTTAGTAATGGGTATAAAAACCTGCCTTGTGGAGCACATGAATTAAATTTTTATTGCTTTAGGTTTTGAGATTTTATTTTACGCTTGATTTAATGGCTGCATCTTCTGTTATACTTTCAGCCATCGAGCTGCTTGAAAAGATGTTGGTTCTGGACGGAGATGAGAGGCCCACTGCTGAACTTGCTCTGGAGCACCCGTACTTTGACAGCTTACGGGACCCCGATGACTTTCCTGAGCCTAAGCCTTATGATGACAGCTATGACAATGCAACACTGGCCCTGGATGAGTGGAAACGTATGTGAGAAAAAATATAAAATGAGCAAACATTCGTAGAAAAACAGTCCATGTGTTCAATATGTTAAATGCAACATCAAATATAATGACAACTGACATTAAATCAGAAATCCAGAGTTTCCCCCCTTTCACGAATTGGGTATGATTTCTTAGAAATTTATAAAAGCAATAGTCTTACCCTGTATTGTGATATAATGTAGGCAGTATGTCAAAAAAAATTTATTGCTATGCCCATCCCAGTCCTGCAGAGCCCCATGCACTTTGAACTGGGTGCCATGCAGCATTCGCCAATAGCATCAGACATCTGCCTACTTACTATGTCAGTCACAGAGTGGAAATACCTAAAATGATACAGAGTTGGCAACTTTTCTTAGGACAAGTAATTCTTTAAAATATATTTATATATGAACAAACAGCACAATGTGAGACTAATATTTGTAAAACAGCATGTTTTAGCAAGAGGCATTGCTTTTGGCCGTAAATACAGAAGTGGGGAGAACGGCTTAAGGTGCAATGCACTTTTCTGCCTTTAGATGGTGCTGTCAGATAAAAACTCCAGATTTCTGCTTTGTTTTTTGAAGGAGATGAAGAAGAAGAAAGTATCATTTCTATAGCACCTCTCAAGATAAAAATCACGAGGCGCTTCACAAAAACAAAAAAAATTTAAAAATATAAAAAAGCATTTAGAAGATGTTTAAAAATAAAATGAGGAAAAATAGGCAATTGGGATTTAAAAGAAAAATGTTAAGAAAGAGAGAGTGAATAGGAAAGAGGGAAATCAGTAGATCCTGAGGAGATGTTTTGATGGAGCATTTCCTGTCATATTGCTTGAAATTCTCTTCACCTACTGATGGCAACCATTGAATTAAATGTTTACTCAAACAAACAGAATAGTTTAATCGCTTTGAAATGTACAATCCTGGAAAAACTTGTCCACTCATTGTGAACATCTCGTTGTTAAAGATTGGATCCTTATCCTTCCATCAAATTGCCCTCTGACCATCTCTCCCTCCCTCTCCACATATCCCTCTTTGTGCACGAATCGTGCATTCTCAGTTTGGAGCAGCTGAACAGCAAGTCAAGCCAAATCTCGGCTAGCTATATTAGTTAGCATACTAAATTGTTTTACGTTTATTTAGCCTGAGCAGAAGTGGTATAGTGTAATAAGCCCAGTACATCTCACTGGATCAATGTGCCAGGCTTCCCTCTCTTCAACTTTCAGTGCAGACAGAGTCTAGAGAACTCATGAGCAACAACAGAGGCTTCACTGCTATTAAGTAGGTGTGTTACGTTAGGAATTATGGCAGAAAATGTGCCAACAATGAGTTTAAAAGAAAAGATAATGTTTTGTTATAGTTGTTTGACAGTATCCGTTGAGTCCGGTATTCTCCTGTATTCTGCAGGCATGGCTCAAGGGAGCCTGAATAAAGGGGGATAAACATTTGAAGCGTGTATTTTAAAAATTTAGCTTGCTTGAATGACTTTTCTAGGATCATCTACCCTACCTTTAATAAAAGGAAATGGTAGAAAAAATATTCTATAAATATGCTTCACACATGGTAACCTAACTCTGCTCTTTTCCCATAGGGTTATGTTTCAAAGAGGTAAAAAGCTTTGTGCCATTCCCACGGAGAGACTCCAAGAGGAAAAACACTCTGACTATGACTCCTTGATCTGATGAATTCAATCCACTTCCTGGCGGCCCAACTTTCACAGCATACAGGCGACTGTGCCCTTGTTTATTCCACACCCACACTATTTCCTCCACTTTTGCTTTATTTAGATTTTTAATCAATGTTAAGAATTGTGCTTTATTTTAAAACTGCTCTCTTCTTTTTATGTATTGTGGAATAATTTCCTGAGTGTAGATTGTTACACATTCCCTTTCAGTGTTGCAAAGTATTTGTCACTAAAAGCTAACAGGTTTCCTGTAGGGTTTACTGTAAAACAGGTTTACAATTAAACAATGTGATACAATTTGTGTGGTGTTGTTTTTGTATGATAACTTACATGTGTACCTTATTAAGTCAACCTCAGCCTTGTGGTGCAAATACTGAGCATAATTTGCATGACTTGGTTTTGTCTATGGTTGCTTCAGAGGCCCCAGAAGGTAGGCAACCAACAGCTACTACTTTTCAAATGATTTACTTGAGGGATTCATGCATCAAGCTGCCATCAAACGTTCAAATGCTTTTACAGATGGCACAAGAGTGAGTATCCTCATATAAGTTGTTTTAGATTAATAAAATCCTTCAGAGTACATTTTTAAATAGACTAACTCATAAGGGTCTTGAAGGAGAACCGAGCTAAATGACAATAGGATGAGAGCTAAGGACAATTTGAGATGAACCTCCCGTTAGGTCGCCTGCGCGCGAAAATCGTTGTCTAATGACGTCAAAAGGGGCAGGTTCTGGGCAACTGAACTTTTACCAACCAAGGTAAATCACAAACTGACACTAAGCGGAAGTGATGCTTTCCGTCATCAAAATAAAATCGTTATGTTAAAAAAGGTGTATAACTTCTTTGATGTATCCTGCAAACCAAAACGATAGCTTAAACGACAATTTCATCACTTGAAAAAGATTTTCAGAACCTACATAATACGCTAATTTTAAAAGCCTGAACATGAAAATGGCTCCTGCTGGCTCTGAAAATTATTTCACTTACAACGTTTTGGACATTTCCAGTAAAAATCAATGTTGTAAATGTAAATTGAATGATGCAAACTTTCTATTTAATGTATTTACATTTCCATGCGTTGTTAGTCGCTTATTTAATCCGTGTGTTTTCTTTTTATCTTTATTATTTTGAAATTTGTATCCGGAAGTTATGCTTTTACTTTTACGCTAACTCCGGACTCCAAAAAGCTAGCCGACTAGCAAAGAGAAGCTAGTATTTTTTTCCCTCATAAAATTGATCGATGATGAGATGTCTCTCAGGTTATTGGTGCTAATTAATTAGTGTTGTCTCCGACAAGTATTGAGAATCAATCGTCTGCTTTAAAAAGAGCGTGTTGTGAAGAAACAGAAGCGTCAGAAGGTAACGAATTACACCGGCTGTATTAGCAGGCTAACCGAAGCGATTAGCTTCGGAAGTACTGCAAGAGACGCGTCTGACTGGGCAACCAAAAGCGGCTTCTGACCGCTGGCTGTCGAGCTACCCTGGTCAGTCAGTCAACATAATAGGTAGGATTTCAAACATGTATTTTCGCTAGCGTTTTTTTTTTCTGGTATTGAGTGCTTTCAAACTTTTATTGCCTTTTCACCTTGCCACAGATTAGTGTCATTTTTATTTTGAAAGTGTCAAAAAGACAAGTTACGGTCAGAACTACCCATCTTGAAAGTTAGCTGATAATTTTTACCACAAACGGTACACTGTCAGAAAACCATTATATTGTTATGTTATTCTTACAGTCGGTGGATAAGTAAATTAAAAAAGCAACCTTAATCAAATGTCAAGATGTTAATCGCTTGAAAAGCCTTTTAATATTGTTTTAAAACTGTCAATATGGCTGACATTTCACTCCCGAACTATGGGACTCTTATCTGTTGAGTCTATAATGCTCTACATGCTGATTGGCTCTCTGATGGATCAGTCAAACGTACTTGGAAGCTGATTGGATGAAACCCTTGCGTTGTGGCACACCTCGATTCAACAAACATGTGAGACAAAGTCTGGAAAAAATCTACCAGTCGTTGCAACTTTTGTGTTTCTTGTGTTATAACTAAATATACTACCTTACAGCTTCACACATGTATAACTGTCATTACAGTGGTTTGCCTATGTGGCTAATTTGACCAGTTTTAAATCATCTGAGTTAATGTGATGGAATGTTTATTGTTTTACATGTCTTTAGTAAGAGTCAGACACCACATGTTTCACAATTGATTTGATTTTTCTTTGATAGAAGTGAAAGTGTTATTAGTGGCCTATGAGGAAGCCACGTCGAAGGGGCCCGGTGGCCGGAGCAGATGGAGAAGACATCAACAATTCTAATGGGACAGGAAGCAGGCGTGGGGTTGCCCGCCAGCGATCTCCATCCCCTTACAGCCTCAAAGCATCTCCTAGCAGAGAAACCCTTAGTTATGCCCAGGCTCAGAAGGTGGTGGAGGTGGAACTGGATGGTAGGCTTCATCGTATTTCCATCCTGGAGCCTTTGGAAGTCATTACAGATGATGAGATGATGGTTCAGGGTGAGTGTAACAGCAACAAAGAGAACAGTGAACAGTCATTATCTTCTACTGCCAGCGCCCCAACATCTCTTAAGTCTGTCACACCTAGAGGCCGTAGAAAAGACTCCAAATGCTCCTTCGTCAAGTCAATAAAACCAGCCAAGAAACACTGTCCCAATTCCCAACCTCAAACACCTGAAAAACTAAACACATCAAGCTATCATCACACAGCTCTTCCTGAACCTAAGTTTCATGTTCTGGAAACCTTCACACCTACCGAGGCACCCACCTTGCCTACAGCATATTATCGTTACATTGAATGCTCACCTGATGAGCAGGAGGCCAAAGCAGAATATGACATGGATGACGAAGACACTGCTTGGTTGGATATGGTAAATGCTGGCCGGACATCCGAGTATTTATCTGCTGTTTCACCTGACACGTTTGAGCTGCTGGTGGATCGGTTAGAGGAGGAGGCGTACAGAGAAGCCCGGAGCCGAGCACCCTCTCAAAGCACCATTGATGATGATGCCTTCTGCTGTGTGTGCCTGGATGACGAATGCCTCAACAGCAACGTCATCCTCTTCTGTGACTCTTGTAACCTGGCTGTGCACCAGGAGTGTTATGGAGTGCCCTACATCCCTGAGGGTCAGTGGCTGTGTCGCTGTTGCCTGCAATCCCCTCATAAACCTGTAGACTGTGTTCTGTGTCCAAATCGAGGTGGCGCTTTCAAACAAACAAGCGATGGCCGCTGGGCACATGTGGTCTGTGCTATATGGATCCCTGAAGTTTGTTTTGCTAACACCGTTTTTCTGGAGCCTGTGGAAGGGGTCAACAACATCCCTCCAGCCCGCTGGAAGCTCACCTGTTACCTATGCAAACAGAAGAGTCGGGGCGCATCCATTCAATGCCACAAGGCCAACTGTTACACTGCGTTTCATGTCACGTGTGCTCAGCGTGCTGGATTGTTTATGAAGATTGAACCCGTTAGGGAAACAAACCTCAACGGCACCACGTTTACAGTGAAGAAGACGGCATTTTGTGAGACTCATTCTCCTCCTGGACAAGAGACCGGGTCGGACGAGGAGAGTGAAGGTCGGGTTGTGGGCAGCAGAGGGAGAGCTAGTAGAGGGCGGAGCGCCTACTCAGAAGGTCCAGCTACACCAAAGAAAGGTAGAAAGGCTGAAGATGATGGCTCAGATAAAAAGAAAGGGAAGAAGAATGCAGTGGAAAAATCACAGAACACTGGTTCACCACATGCAGCAGTGCCTCAGATACCTACAAGCAGGTAAGCCTCTAACGATTACTGTTTAACACATTATTATCATTGCTGTTTTAGTAGTGATATCACCCAGTGAAGCCCACGTTGCTCTTTTCTAGGTGAAAACGACATTTGAGGGGAGATGCTTGAATTGATGTAAACATGAACATTTCTGTTTTACAGACTAAATATAATCAGCAAAGGAATCCTCCTCCAAAGGAAAAACCAGTTCATGCAAAGACTGCACAGCTACTGGTTGTTAAAGCGCCAGTCAAGAAACGGTGTGCCACTGGTTCGACGATTAAATTCCAACTTTCAAACCCAACGGACTACCGAACAGGTAAGGCCAAGAAACGATTCTGATGAAGAAAAAACAACAGAGCGCCTTATTTTAGATGTTTCTGATGTGTTGTTTCTGTGTGTGTGATCCCGGTAGCCTGAAGTGGACGAGAAGATTTCTGCTGCAAGAGAAGCTCTGAGATATTGGCAGAAACTGCGACATGATCTTGAAAAGGCCAGACTGCTGGTGGAGCTAATACGTAAGAGAGAGAAGCTCAAACGAGAGCAGGTAAGAGAATTCTTTTATTCTTGGTAATGAGGAATTATGACTTTACAGTCAATAATTTCAATACTAGATAACACTTTAGGAAACAAACTAAAGACTCATTCAGACTAAGTTGTACTAAACATCCTGTGGTTTTTGGGCATTAAAAAATACCCACAGTGTTTGCCCTACATAGGCTCAGGCGTGGCGCAGCACCACACCTGAAGCTCCAGCACCACAGCTAAGAAATTTCGTCGACCCGCCGATACGGGAGATGCACAGAAGTAACACTTTCCACATGTACAAACGTGCCCCCCCCCCCCCCCCCCCCCCCCCCCCCCCCCCCATCACGGGAAATGCACGGAAGAGTAACGTTCCAGGCACAGACAGCCCCTCCACCCTTTTCCCGCCACAGCTGTAAAACTTTCTGGGGGAAACACTGTACTCTGATGCACACCAACTTTGTGTAATGTCTTCTTATCTAAACATTACAAAACATGTTATGTCCACTGCAGGTCAAAGTTCACCAGGCAGCTTTGGAGATGCAGCTGACTCCGATGGTGATGCTCCTTCATTCCACTCTGGATCAGCTTCAGGAGAAGGATACGGCCCAGATTTTCACCAAGCCAGTCGACATAAAGGAGGTCAGATATTTGTGTGAATATAACGTAGACTCCAAATTCAGTTACTGTGAATTTCTGCATTTCCAAATGTAAACAAAAACTCCAGAACACACAAAAATGTTGCTACTTAAAAAACCAGCAGATCAGTTGCACACAGAAAATTGTTTTGTCTGTGAGAATTTTTATCAGGGGCTTTGAACTCAGCTTTATTTCTCATACAGGGTGTTTAGCCTCCACACACAAACCTGTACTGGTTCCAGTAACTGGTCTGTTTTGTTTTTATTGTAGCTGTGATGAGGTAACTAGGTTATTTAGTTTTTTGACAATCAAGGCAAACACAATTAAATGCTGTTTTTATACTTGTCACAAAGAAGGTCTTTTTACATAGATTGAAGCTTTTTAATAATATAACATTAATAAGAAATGTGATAAATAACTAATTTACAGCATCAAGCAAACTTAACAGGAGTGAGTAGCCATGCCCTTGTCCACAGTATTAAAGCGGTTAGTGTAAACTTGAAAATAAAAATGATCTAGTAAACATTTTTATAACTTTGGTTCTGAGCACAACAGATTTCCTAAATCATCAGGGCTGTTTTCATCACGTTGAGTCTGCAGCAAAGTGTCCATCTTGTTTTTTCACAAGACTTGGACCAGTAATGCTTCCTGAACTGGCAGGTTCATCCTCTTTTGTAACTTTCGTCTTGTCTGCAGGTTCCAGACTACCTGGAGTTCATCAGCCAGCCTATGGATTTCTCCGCTATGCGTTCCAAGCTTGAAAGCCATACTTACCGCTCAGTGGCTGACATAGAGGCTGACTTCAATCTCATGGTGTCAAACTGCCTCCTCTACAATGCCAAAGACACAGTTTTTCACAAGGCGGCACTGCGTCTTCGTGACCTGGGGGGCGCCATATTGCGTCATGCCCAACGACAAACCACAAACGCCGGCCTGGACCTGGACACTGGCATGCATCTCCCAGAGTCCCCGCAGAAACGGGACTTTTACAGCTGTACCTGGGAGGACGGTGTGTCATGTTGCTGTTATTGTAAATATTCCTGTTTAGTACTTTAGAAAGGAGAATGGTGGTACAATAACTCATGCTACTGCTACCTTTTCACTCATCAGTGTTTATAATGGAAATATAGCTCCTGTAATTACATTTACCATCATTTGTTGACATTCTAACCTGAACAGGAGATGTTTGTTGTGTAAACGTGATCTGCTTATACGGCGCTGTCTTTTCGCTAACGTTATACATCTGTTCAGTTGACAGTGTTCTGGATCCGGAGAACCGGCTCCACATGACGGTGGATGAACAGCTGAAGGAACTGCTGGAGAAGCTAGACTTTGTAACGTCAATGCGGTGCAGTGGAGCCCGAACTCGGCGCATTCGCTTGCTTCGACGAGAGATCAACAAGCTCCGCTACAGACAGGGCCAACACCCGAGCCACAGCCTCCACAATGGACAGCTCAAAGAGGATGATGAGGATGATGAAGATGAGGAAGAGAACGACAACAATGCAGATCACGGTCTTTCATCCTTAGACAAAGGTAAACTACAAAATATATAAAATTATTTCCGCATGAACCTTTGAAAGCTTTTTTCTCTTAATGAGATCGGTTGTGAACATGAGCTAATGGAACATTGTCCTCAGGTAATTGAGCCAGGGTCCCCCCCACGCACCAACCCCAACCACCCCACTGTCTCCAGTCTAGTAAGTAGGGGCCCAGAGAGTCTCGTTAGCCATGGCTGCCTCACAACTCCTCTCTCCCAGTGCACTCTGTCTGCACCTCCTTCACACATCACTCTCATGGATTCACCTCTCTCCTTTAGCCACGCTCAGTCAGTCATGCCCATATCATCCCACCTCTGACCACAGACTGGTCCAGTCAGACAGTCACAACAGCTCAACAACACCCGTGGTTCTAGTCATTTAAAGCTGCCATGTTGGTGTCGCTGGTGTCCAGTGGTGAGGAGGTTCTCCACCGTAAAACTCCCTTTGGGCTATGGTTAGAGTGTAAGAATAAAGTGCTTTCATTACAAAGTGACACCATTTCCCACTGTGAATACTACACTACCACATCATACTACATGCACATGGACGTTCTTCTTTTTTTAGGTGAGAAGGGAAATTAAATTATTTTCATCTCCTCATTTTGCAGAGGACTTCAAATCTGCATCTCCCCCAAAACTGGAACCAACAGGCCCGGCCCCCCCTCCACGCCAGGGAGATACACCTCTAGATCCTCCGACACTGCGGCCAATCACAAGGGAGTCCCAGTCATCGTCTTGGCACCGCAAGCGCCTTAAGATAGACAGTGACCTCTCAAAAAGCATTGTAGAGAACAGTAAGTGCCCTAAAGCACAAGAGGGGTCGGAAACACCGCCTCCGATTTTGCATAGCGAAGCTCAGGTGGTGTCCAACGGCCTCCCGGAGTTCAGCGTCTCTCCACAGCCCGCCACCGGGGGAGTCGGACGACGGACTTCTGTGTTGTTTAGGAAAGCAAAAAATGGGGCCAAGCTTTTCAGAGACAGAGACAACCCTTTGTTTAATGGAAACGGGCTGCAGGATGAAGTTACAGCACCCTCCTCCACAGCTTCTACACATTTGTCAAAGACCCCCCAAAAAAGCCCCGGACCCCCGACGCTCAGTGAACTATGGACGCCTGATCGAGACTTGAGTTTGGATACCGAACCTGGGAGAAGGCTGGAAAGTGGTGAGCAGTTTAATTTAATGGGACGTAATTTACTTTTTTAAAGGTTCGGAAACAGTTGCTATAGACACAGATGTGGTCACGCTCAACTCTGTTATTTCTACTATAGTTTGTGTTTTTTTAGAATCAGAGAATTTAAAGCAACACCAAATAGATGTTCTGTGTCTTCCTCCTACTGGTTGAAATTGGATTCCTTTTGTTGTCATTTACTGTGCACAAAACTGTTAAGTATGGTTTCTGGTCAGCAGAGGAATACGGAGTGCTGTCAGGTGTGAATTTGGGCAAGTTTCTACCTCAAGAACCACTGAAACCAGATTTAAAGCAAGATTTAGGTTAAAATGTAAAAATAAATAACTGTCGTCATAAAAGCCAGCAGAGATGCAGCAAAATACTTTTGGTTCATTATTTCATCTTTTTTTTTCCCCCTGCAGTTTCATTGTGACACTATTATTTCATGGTTCTGTTATTTCCTCGTACTTCCCATGTGAGCTGCTCCGTTATTCCTGTGATTTGTCTTTAGGACTGACCAACGGCTTTGACAGGCACAAAGACGGCAGCTCTGACTCTGAACCCAGCTTGTGTCCTGTCCTGCACAAAGAAATGTAGGACACTGTTGTGTTTGCTGTTGTTGTCTTGTCTGGTTTAAAATATCACCGATAATAAAACATTATGTTTGATCACGCCGCAGCTCAACCCCCAAACGAAGCCTTGGGAAACCGTCTCTCTCCAAAGTTCCTCTTCTGGAGATCGTCAACGGAGATTCCGATTACACCAGTACTCTCACCTCTTATCGCCCTCTTCATAAACCCTGGAGCTAGTTTACATCTGTCCTGTTGATGTTCTTTATTTTGCTGAAATTATTTGATTATTTTTTGTTGTCTTGAAGGCAACAGCGTCCAAAAACCGGAGGATGAGGTAGAATTGGAACCTTTAGACCTGGTGTGGGCTAAATGCAGAGGGTACCCCTCCTACCCTGCTCTGGTAAACTTTTTTTCTGTTCTCTTACACGTTTAGGTAACAGACTTTAGCTCTAAAGCCTTCTTCTGTTCTAGGTCATTGACCCAGAGATGCCTGAGGAAGGGCTGCTGCTTAATGGGATCCCCATTCCAGTCCCACCCAAAGATGTCCTCCATCTGGGCGAGCAGAGACAGGAGGAGACTAATGAGAGACTCTACCTGGTGCTTTTCTTTGACAACAAGCGGACATGGTGATTTCCACATGCATTCAGACACAATTCAATGCTTTTGTTATCTCTGAGTTCTGCTACAAAGTCTTAGAGAGGAGATTTAGATGCATTTATTTGTGCTGAAATGTCTCAGCTTCTTGGTCACCCTACACCAGCGGTAGAAGCTCGTGGTCCTAAAACGTAAAAATATTGATGAGAAGTAGAGACGCTTCACATAACTGGCTGGTGATTGGAATTGGCTAAATCAGGGATCAGCCAGTCTGAAGCTCAGAAATCACTTTTTTTTTTTTTTTTTTTTAAATTTCCTTTATCTCATTGTTGCCGAGCAACAATAAAGAAAATCTGGCATTTTCCCAGTCTGTGAGCTCAGCTGCTTTTACTTCAAGAATCTTGTTCTCTGAGATTAACTGGAATCAGCCTAAATGTGTATCGGTGAAAATCGGTAACAAAACCAGAATTGGTCCATTTATATACAAAGTACTGACAGTTGTTGCTATTCATTTATACATTGCTAACTGGTCATTACAATATTTACTACTTCAAACTTCCAATAAACAAAGAAGAAGACATTCAAGTCAGATATTTTTTCCAATTAAGCAAATTAGAAATTTACTTTAGTTTTTGACCAAACTTGAGGCGTAGGAGCAGGTCTGCACTATTGTTTCTCACTAATCTATGTTTCTGTCATCGTTGCTGTAGGCAGTGGCTCCCGCGAGACAAAGTCACACCGCTGGGTGTAGACGACACCGCCGACAAGCTGCGGATAATGGAGGGACGTAAGTCCAGCATCCGAAAGTCGGTGCAGGTGGCTTATGACCGGGCCATGATCCACCAGAGCAGAGTCAACCACAACCACTGCTTTGTGGCCTCAAACTACATGTAGAGGGTGACTGTGAGCTCTCACACTTAGGTGTGTGTCCTGGTAAAGCAGCAGGTTCTGTCCATGTCAACAATGGTCTGAGGAGGTTGGACCTGTCGCCTCTCAGGACCAATAAATCACTGGTGTCTCTGTGCGGTGATGCTCTGTTGTTGTTGAGAGAATGTGTGAAGGAAGTGACTTTAAGCCCTGCGGTGCTAGGGTCAGTGAGCAGAGGAATGGAGGTGTCTCCTTACGCCACCTGGAGGTCACAAAGCTTCATGTTTGGATCAAATAAATGAATTCCAGCCGTTTTGCTGCCCAGGGATCAAACTGCAGGATCACTGCCTTCTTTTATACTATATCTTTTTCTTTTTTTTTTTTTTACCTTTTATTCTCTTACAGAAAGATTCTTGTATATTTTAATGATATGCTTGTGTACATATGTGTGTAAAATCAAACCTATTTTAATGTAATGTTACTGTTTTTAATGCGTATTTCAATCAGCCGTCTGGGCGAAGCCAAGCTGTGAATAGTGAAGACGAAATAATTTCTGACGTACGTGTGTGTGTGTGTGTGTGTGTGTGTTTCAGCAAACACAATGAACTGATCTTTATATTTGAAATCTCTTTTTGATACAGAGAGAAATAATTTATTTATGAAGACAGAACTATAGAAATAAAGTTATATTGGTTAAATGGAGAATTCTTATTTAAAAAAACACGCAGCCAACATTTTCGACAGATTGCTTCTTATTTGTTTTTACTGTACTATCCATCGCTGTTGATGCTTTTATTTAATTTATTTTCCCGAGCCCGGTTTTATCAAATGAAAAAGTCCACCTTTATAAGCTTGTACTGCTGTCATATTTTACCTGCTCACCAATTTTGTCTCTAACTCCTATTTCCTTGTTTTGGGGAAATAAATATTCTGTTAAAAACACATTTGGTGTTTTTTGTTTTTATCTGATCCTAAATGTTTTACACTGAGAACTCTAGAAGACGTCTTTTTGATTTGACTTGTGAACGCCAGTTGTTAGGTGCTCTGAACTCAAAGCTTTATTTTACAAAAAAATACTCCAGTTAAATGTTCTGGTAGGGTGTTGGAGCTGATATAAAAAAACTTTCTTTGGCCAGATTTAAACACATTTCTGAAGCAGAAGTTCTAAAACAAATGCAGTTTTCCTACAGGTCCGTCTATTTGTGTGGATTAAAAACAGAATTCCAGCAAGAATTCCAACTTTTCCTTCATCTGAATGCTCGCTGGTGTCTTGTTAGGAGGAGGTAGTTGTGATGGAGGGTCCGTAGCTCCGTCAGTCTACCGAGCAGACGACCGAACCGTTGGGGTCCACCTCGTCCTGCTCCAGAATGAGCCCTGCACACTCTGGACAGCAGGTCCAGGATCAGCTCCTGCATTTTCTCAACACAGCTGGCTGCCTGCAGGGATGCCCGGTCTGCACACCAGGGGCCAAAGACGCACACGTTAACAGAAACGCATAACTCGGAAGGTGAGATCATATCTGAAGTTGGACAGGATCTAAAGACGAGGAGCATCTCAGACCTGAGCAGAGAAGAGCCGTGGCGGTAAGCAGAGCGTATTCAGCCTCCGTCACACGCAGCACTGCCGTGCTGTGGAGGAAGTTGAGCACAGACCCCAGAAGATCCTCTCTGCTTCCTGTTTACAACAGCAGATAAATTAACTGGATGTAGCATTTGTAAGACTGGAGGTCAGGTGTGACCTCACCTGAGCTGATCTGCATCCTGCTCTGGAAGTTTTCTTTGGACTCCACATCTCTGGGCCAGCTGTGAGTCGATGTGTTAAAAATCTGCAAGACTAGAAGTAAAGTGAAGGATTAATGTCTTTAAATTTGTCTTTTGATTAAAGTTTTGTCTCCATCTTGAACATCGGTTCACCTGGACTGGGACTCGCTGGGTTTTGGGAGAACTGCTGAGCTGAGAGCAGGAACATGACCTCCAGCAAGGAGACGGACAAGAGAGCGATCTGGTCCGAGAAATCCAGGAGGTCGAAGCCTGTGAGAGGAGCGTGTGTTTAATTTATTTGTTTCTCTTCAGTGAATTCTGTTATAATCCAGAATGACCGGAAATGACATCACTGTGGATTCAGAACCATAAAAAGCAAGTTGGTGTTCGTTGGTCTTACCAGGCACTGTCCTGGCAAACAGCAGTAGTCTTTGTAGGTGGGGGGGTACGTTACCAGGCGAGACCCCACCATCTTCCTGTGTATTTTGCCATTCAAACAGCTGATCAGACAAAAACAGGTGACAGCATGAGGACCACACAGCTGTTAGGGTCTAAATATGGCCTCCTAAATGTGAGGTACCATAAGGCAGCTGGGGTCTTGACCTCTGAACTGGTGATGAGCCTCCACCATCCTGTCCACCATGTGTTTCTGTTCCCGTGTCAGACCAGCAGACAGAACCTGGTAGGGTGTGAGGCAGACAAGAAAATATAAACATTAAAACGATGCTGTCTGAGCACTAAAAGAAAAACACGCTACAAGCTAAACCAAACGTTTCAAAACACAGGCCCAAACCAACACGGCCCCCAAAAATGTGTTTATTTTTAAAAAACAATATATTTTTTTTTATTTCCATCACATTAATAATTATAATATTATTAATAACAGTAATAGAAATTTCAATGATAGAATAACCATGCAATAATTATTTGGTTTTAGCAGAAATGATCTGTAAAATGTTGCTTTAGGGAGATTTGATAGATTATTGGATGGTTTTGTATGTTTTTTTGTCTTAAAAATAAAATTTGAATCATTATCGGCTACTAAATATTTAACTTTACTTGAACAAATGTAAGAAATAAAAATTACACCATTCTTGAAAATGCTGTTCAGGGCTGCACAGAATCACTCTGAGGACTGCACTTAGGACATGTAAGCATAGCTGTGTGCATGCATGCGTGTGTGATACCTGTGCAGGTATCCTGCTGGTTGAGCTGACCCTCCTGCTGTCCGTGCTCTCCTCTTCCTCCTGTCCTCTGCTTTTTCCTCCCTTTCTCAGTCGTTTAGATTGACACTGCACCTCTGTTAGAAGGCCTTCAGAAAAAATAAACAGACATCATGTGCAAATTAGCAAAAATAAATATTGTGCAAAAAATCCTAAACTGAGCATTTTCATAATTTTTTCTTCAAATGAGCTAATTTTTAGATCCATTCTTCAGAATTAGATTAAATTTTCTGGAAGAAAATGGCTGCTTCTGCACAAAGTGATTAATTATGCTAGATGTGTTTTTTGAGTTTGACCTTTCCTCTTTGTCATGGTGGGACACAAGGACTGCACAGGAACCACTTTGAAAGATTATCTTTAAGACATTTTAACTAATGTTCACATTAAAACAGTCATTTACGCTAATATTTATCAATGTGTGAATTGCTGAAAGCATCAATATACAAAAAGAGTAGAAGGAGTCACCGCTCGTCTGGGAAAGGTGCTAGATCAAAAAGTGGAATAAACAAAATAAGGATCCGCACACTTCAATCTGCGATGTAGGAGTTTATTGGTCAAGCTTTCGGTCAGAGACCTTCATCAGGAAAGAATAAATATGCCATATCCTTATTGCATGAAGCGTTAGGTTATGCATATAACCGCTGTTCCCTGAAGGAGAGGAACGAGGTACAACGAAAGTACTATGGGCCATCACGCCCTCGTGTGCCCTGGCTGATAACTCATCTAAACACACCTGTAAAGGCAAATGAACGTGACGCTGTGTGTAGGCCCCGCCCTCCACTTATAAGCGATAGCGTCACCGCCACTCCCCAGTTCGATAGCTGCTCTTCACCTCGCTGAGAACATGTCTTTATTAGCTGCACTTTTGAAAACTAGCTTAACTGCTCGTTGGTGCTTCTCTGCTGCCTGGTATTTTGCCCACCGAGCTCTACCGGATGCAAATGTCCTGTGAATCGACTGAAAGGGAACAGTTTCTCTAATCAGGGGTGGTGCTAAGAGAGTCCAGGGTGGGCCAGTGCCACCCTGATGGCAAGTTTGGACCCCCACTGCTTTTCCACTTGCTGGGGAGCTGCGGAGCCCAAGCTTAAATAAATATGTGATAATTTAGCTTAATGGGAAATGTGAAACCCAAGCGGGCGATGGTGGCACAGGAGTTAAGTGCTCGCCTCGTAATCGGAAGGTTGCAGGTTCGAGCCCCGCTCAGTCTGTCGCTGTCGTCGTGTCCTTGGGCAAGACGCTTAACCCACGTTGCCTGCTGGTGGTGGTCGGAGGGACCGGTGGCGCCTGTGCTCGGTAGCCTCGCCTCTGTCAGTGCGCCCCAGGGCAGCTGTGGCTACATTGTAGCTCATCCCCACCAGTGTGTGAATGTGTGTGTGAATGGGTGAATGACTGATTGTGTTGTAAAGCGCCTTGGGGGGGTTCCAGGACTCTAGAAGGCGCTATATCAAATGCAGGCCATTTATCAGAAGTTGCTGGTGTAATACTATGATATTAACATCTTTTTGCTAAATAAGTTACATTTTGAAACTTATTGACAAGCTGTTGTATCCAAAGCAACATAGTTCTTCTTATATTGTTGTAGAATGTACAGAATAAAATTTGAAGTACCTAAAATCAATGTTTTTAATCTTTTCTTACAAATGTGCCTTTCTGACAGAGCAGCGGCCCCCCTCTAATGCTAGTCTAGAACCGCCCCTGTCTCTGATGCAACGGAAGCAGGTTTTCCTACACTCTGCCAGCATCCCGACGGCGCGACACTTCCTCAGCCGGCAGTCTTGACACTTTCTCCTCATGTACATGTCCATCTCACAGCAGCCGCCACTCTTACAGTGATACACCGCCTTTTTAGTCACGCTACGCCTGAAAAAGCCTGCAGGGAAAGAAAGAAAAGGATTACTAGCTCTAAATTATTTAGGAAAAATATGCTAATTAAAGACATACCTTTACATCCCTCACAGGTGAGAGCGTTATAGTGATACCCTGATGCTTTGTCACCACACACAACACACAGCTCGTCCTGACCTCTGCTCTTCCCTCCTGAACCCACTCGAGACCTCCGGCTAAGAGGAAGTCCCACTCCGCCAAAACCCTGGGCCAGGCCCCCAGAGAAGGGCTCTGTCCTGGGATCACAAGGGGACTCCGGGAAGTGGGGGCTGAACTGGTACGGAGGGTGGCAGAGCTGAGAGGATGAAGCAGAAGATGATGGTGAGGGGGAGCAAGAAGGTGGAGAACCATAGTGGGAGAAGGGCAGGTTGGGAGGGAGGTACTGCTGTTGGCTGTAAGGAAGCAGCTGGAGGTCAGGGTCCTGGAAGGGGTAACCCAGAGGGTCGGACAGCATGTCTGAAAGGTAGAAAGGATCATCCTGAGACATGGATTCAAATGTGTTGGGGCTTAAATCCCAGAATCTCAGATCTTCTAACTCAGCTTTCACATGTGATCAGCTGCACCAGCAGGACAAAAATCTGGCCCAACATTTGAAAACACACAGTGACGCCGGTCCCGATGGAAGAGCGTCACAAGACCGTGACTTCAGCGTTTGTCTGACTCCAGAGGGAACCAGTAAAGACCTGATAGTGAGGCCTTGTGAACTTGTTCAGGCTGCTGAAACAGGATGCAGCGGAGAGCTCAGAGTGCTGTTAAGGACTTTACGATGCTTGATTCCCTCTCTAATGAACAGTTGACGTGTTGTCTCTGCAGAGAAAACAAGTGGCCACTGGCAGCTTCTGAATGTAAAGCTGGACCGGTCTAAACAGAACTGTTCTGGGACCTGTTCTGTCCCCTGTAACTATCCTAACCGTAAATACTCGACTCGTCATTGTGAGTTGTACTCTCAGATGGGATGGCCTGCTTTGACCATCAGGAGGAAGTCTCATTTTTTCAGATTTATATATAAGGCACTACTTGGTCTGCTACCTTCCTATACAACTTCCCTACTTAAAATGAAAATTGCAGGTTGTTGTTCTCTTCGTTTACAAGACACTTTGCTGCTTTCTGTCCCGTTTGTACGTACTGAACTTGGAAAGAGAGCTTTTGCCCATTCAGCGCCATCAGCTTGGAATGAGTTGCAGGAAAAATGGAAGATGACAGAATTCATTTCATTGAATGTTTTAAATCTAAACTAAGAAATCTTGAGACCAACTCAATAACATGCAACTGTTTAATTTAGACTGTTTTTATTTTTGGGCTTGTTTAAAGTTTTAAATGTTTTACTTAACTTTGTTCTTAGAAATTTTATTTGACATTGTTTGTTTTCATACAAGTTTAAATTGTAAGTTTTGTCTTGTATATTTGTGTGACGTTTGCTGCAGGACTCCCTTGAAAAAGAGGTTTTAAATCTCAATGGGACTGTTTTTCCTGGGTAAATAAAGGTTAAATAAATAAATAAATAAAACTAGACTGTTAGGACTCCCAGCTGTGGATTAAAGTGAATGTTAGACATCTGTGATGCCGTAGTTCTATTGTGGATTTTTTTACATTATTTATTTTAGTTTTGGTGCATCACCCCAGGATTATCAGTTGTTTCGAAAGTGGAAATGCTGATTAGAAATTAGAAATGAACCCTTCTTAGTTCGGTTTATTCTCTCTTCTTCGTTTTGCTCAGCAGACAGATGTTTCCAGTCTTCACCAGACAATGTCAGCAGTGGGTCTGGGAGGGGGGGGGTGGCTCCTTGCTTTCTTGGCGTGTGACAGAGCAGAGCTCGTACTATTTGTAAACCATCTGAGTGCTGTCTAAACACTCCTCAGCCTCCCTTGCATCCCACGCACGCCAGGGAGCTAAATGACACTAACAAACTACCCCCCGTGGCCCCCACCAATAACAGGGACAATTTGTTGGAGATGCACATCAGTATAAATAGGTTCTCTGATGCACGCTCAGTCTCGCTGCGCGCAATAAGAGCAGTGAGCTGGCTGAATGACCTGAAGATGTTTTCTGTTCTTCTCTTCTCTTCTTTAAAGCTGCAGCAAACTAGATTAACACTTTACAGACTGAAATCCATCCATCCATCCATTTTCTGAACCCGCTTATCCATGTAGGGTCGCGGGGGGGCTGGTGCCTATCTCCAGTGGTCAATGGGCAATCAGGCGGGGTACACCCTGGACAAAGAGCCAGTCCATCGCCGGGCAACACAGAGACACACAGGACAAACAATCATGCACACACACACTCACACCTAAGGACAATTTAGACAGACCAATTAACCTAGCAGTCATGTTTTTGGACTGTGGGAGGAAGCCGGAGTACCCGGAGAGAACCCACGCATGCACAGGGAGAACATGCAAACTCCATGCAGAAAGATCCCAGGCCGGGATTTTAGGCCAGGACCTTCTTGCTGCAAGCTCTAACCTCTGCGCCACTGCGCTCCAGACTGAAGTATGAAATAATAATTTTAATGAAATCTATTTTTAACTTAACTATTTACTGGCTAATGTTTATACAGCAATGACATCATATGTTTTCTTTCATGATGTTATAAAGCAATACAGTACTAATAAAGAAATAAAATGTGTCCTTTCCACCTGTAGATCTACCACAAGGGGGTAGTAGACATGTACAGGAATGGACATAAAGATGCTAATCTAAATACTCCATCTGAATGCAGACATCCCGAGTTTTTTATGAGAGGGCACAATCTAGAGGCAGAAAAATGCATTGCACCTTGAGCCCTATTTTTTTTATATGTATATATGAATTGGCGAGCGTTTGCTTTGTGTTTGACATCTGTACGTTAGCAGATGTCTAACACTATTAACTAATGCAAATTCAAATTGCATGGAGCTCTATGACATGGAGGGTCATGCAAAGCAAAAGCAACAATTGGCACATTGCGTACATGATATCACAGTACAGATTAGGATTATCATTCAACAGATTAAAAAAAATCACACATAATTTCTGGGGGGAATCCGGATTGTTGCTTAAAGGACAGAAGTGGTTCGATGGGAATTTGTGACAAATGCCTAGAAGGAGTTTATGAAAGCCCTTCAGGTAAAATACATATAAAGATGGTGGATGTTTGGAAAAACATCAAGCCGTCTTATATATTTATTTTCTGCTTTCCACAAGTTTAAATGTTTCAGATCTGCAAATGAATTCCAGTGTGAAAGATAACATGAATGAATAAAATTCTGATTTGATTTCCCTTGTTAAATCATGACTGTGATTAACTTAGTGAAAGCTTAGTTAGGGTTGCTACCTGACCAGTATAAGAATAAGAAAACACTTTAGGCACAAGAAGTTGGCTAAAAGATCTCAAAAGCAACACATCACATCTTTTTCTAAAGAAACTCAAAAACAAAAGAACCTAGAACATCTAAAGATCTGCAGGCCTCACTGGTGAAGGTCAAGGTCAAAGGTCATGACTCAACATTCATCAGAAAAAATGAAAGACACGTGGCTTATTAAATATTGTGCCAACATAGAAGTGGTAGTGTGATGGTCTGGGTCTGCTCTGCTGCTTCTGGACCTGGACCACCTTCTGCAGCTGATAGAACCATGAATTTTTGCTCTCTAGTGGCAAAACCTTAAGAATTTCTGACCTTTGACCCTAAACAGGCAGTTCAGGCTGGAAAACCCTCTAAATGTGACTAAATTCAAGTAAAGCAGAGTGAGATACAGGGATGTGAGCGATCACTTTTTTCATACAGCTTATCATTTCAAAAATGCATTTCATGTTTATTATATTTGCTTTTGACCGATGTGTTTTGATCCTAAACATTTACGCAAAACAAGAAAAAATCTGAAAGGGGAAACACATTTTCTGGAAAATTCTGACCGTGAGAAATAAAATTTCAATAGGATTAAATTTATATGAACGCAGGTCGTTGATATTAGAAGATAGTTCATGTTTTCATCTGTTAAGAAGAAGAAAAATGACTAAACTAAAACGTTCTACTGAAATATCAGCCGATTTTTCACGAACTGATAATATTAAATTCAAATTGCGTTGAAAAGAAACAATGACATTTTTCAGGCAATCAGTTGCTGTTTTAATATTTTAAAGTTCTCTCTAAAGACAGACCTTGATTTGTCAGATCTAAAATCCTGAAAATGAAGAAAAAATAAATAAAAATGGTTTTGAAATGAAGGAAAACTTTAAGTTGAAGATGAAGAAGCAGAGGCAGGGCTCACCGTAGTATTGGAGCTGCTCTGTGGAGCAGTAACTCTCTGAGGTGGAGAGAAACCCCCCAGCTGAAAAGCTCATCTCAGCCTCCGTCCACTCTCTCATCTGGACAGAAAATCCTCTTTCTAGCTCTGGAGCAACTGGATCTATCCTCACAGAAACAAACGCACTCAGTTACTCCGAGGATTCACACAGATTATTGAGGTTCTGGGAAGTGAGGAGACATTCCTCAATTCCCAAGATGCGTTCAGGTCTCTTAGCTGTCCTGGCTGATATTTCTGCCTATTTTTAAAAAAGGCCAGAGAGGAAGAGTGCAGCTGAAGCTCTTCGTCAGAGGCTGCTCAAGTGCTGGAGGAGGGCCTACGTGTCCCTGAGGGGTAGACAAAAGGGAAAGCAGGGACACCCAGGAAGGACGGGGTTGGAACTGTGGTCCAAACAGCTGGATGTGACTTCACAGATCAGAGGACAGCAGAGACAGGGGTGGTGGTGGTGGTGGGGTGAGGGGGGTGACCTTTTCCTTTCAAAAGCATGGAAGAAAGAATATGAGCATAAATAAACCATGAAAGTTGTTTTATGACCAATGAAACGTGTTTTTGTTCCAGAAGAACAAGTCTTATTGGTTATATTTGGCATTTTCTTCGGTTTAGTTCATTTGAACGTTCCTGCCCGTGTTTGCCCTCCAGGCCTGGGGAGTGTGTTGACTCTGCCTTTTGTTTACTGCTGTTCTGTTTGTGTTCTAGTTAATATTAGACAGCAGTTAGATTTAAAGGGTCTTGGGGACCTCTTCCTCCCCCACAGAGCCCACATAGTCCTGAAACACAGAAGAAGACAGAGGAGTGGACACCCCCCCCCCCCCACCCCCACCCCACCCCCCCACCCCAGCACAGGCCTGAGAATCTCAGAGGGCGGCCGTTTGACGCGCAGCATGCTCGCTGAGGATAAATGGTGTCCTCCCGCCCTCCTATCGCCCCGTTTACTAATTCAATCTGGGAGTGGGTGGTGGACCAGGCTTAGAGGGCGGACTAATTATTCTTGCTAACAGAGTTTTACTGGTACCATCATGATGACTCTTAGTGAGAAATGAAAAATGAATGTGGCTGCAGCCTACATGTCTTCTTTTATCTATCAGGTAGAAAATCCTCTAAAATGTGATTCAGGATTCACTGCACTGATGAATGAAGTAAACAATAAACCCAGGCTTTTGGTAGCTTTGTCTGTGAACATGTGCTGCATCAACAGCGAGGCAGGCATTGTGCATATGCGAGCTAAACAAACAGTAAAGCAAAACAAGAGCTTGTCGATAAAGATTAGAGGTTTTGGAATAACATGTGCTGAGCAGAATCTTTGATTTTGTCCAAAAGGTTAAGCTCATGTTTGTTGGGTAAAATATTTTAAAAGCTATGTTTTTGTCTGTGTCAGCTGTGTGATGTCAAAGGCTGACATTTACAATCTGCAAAGAGAAATACAACTAGTTACACTCTAGCACAAGTTTAAAATGCAATCGTAGATGTTTTGTTGCCATATTACTTTAAGTGCTCTTCACATACCAAAAGCAAACAATAAAATAATATTTTACTCTAAATTAATAATTTTAACCATCTTTGAAATGTTCAATGCTGGAAAAATCTCATCCATTCCTAATGACTGGATCCTGATCCATCCATGAAGCTTAATCCTTCCCCTCTTTGTTGTGTTCGGAGTTTTTCACATGTTCTCTTTAGAGGTTTGTTTTGGTCTTGATGAGAAATATTTAGGTGACGGACCTGTTGTCTGTGAAGGCAACCTGGCTTCTGTCGGCTGGCAGAGCTGCGTGTCTGTGAGCTGCTGTGATTTTGGAGTTTTGAATAAACCAAGAAAGCTAAAAACTGCCATGTTTTTCATAATCCCACTATATTAGGCAACATACAACATTACTAAACAGTTATGTAGGTGAGTTACACTAGGAATTATGGCAGAAAAGGCTCCAACAACAGGTAGAAAATGTTAAATTGAATCGTCAGGATTAAACAATGTGCATTTCTGTAGTCTGGCTTAGGGGGCAAAAAAGGGGTTGGACCTTTGACTTGTGTATTTTCAGATAGCTTGATCCAACAGCTTTTTCACAAGCTCCTATCCTATCTTTGGCATTGCGATGTAAGGTGGCCCAGTTGCAGGTTTCAATTCCGGTTGTGGTCTTTCTGCGTGGAGTTAGCATGTTCTTCCATGAAGGCATGAGGGATTTGATTCTTCCCATAGACCAAAAACCTGCATGTTCAAGTTAAATAGAGACTGTAAACTGTCCCTAGGTGTGAGCCAGCGTGTGTCCTGAATGACAAACTGGAGACCTGTCCAGGGTGTCCTCTGCCTCCCACCCAACACCAGCTCCCTGTGGTCCTACTGAGAAATGATTTAGATGAGTGACTAAGTTATCTTTTGTAAAAGTTACCTTTTTGCCAAATGTAGCAATGAATCATACATCTATTGTTAATTCGATAACTTGTTATTTTTCTAAAGATTGTTTTCTGTATTTTTAAGCAACTTCTTTGTATTTTATCTCATTTTCAGTTTCGTTTCAACATCTGTTAAAGTGGTGATAAACCATCCACGGTTCTAATCTCTGAAAATGAAAGGAGACCAGATCCAGCTGTGTAGGAGACAGCAAATGTCACCATGGGTCTTCTGGGGGTGTCACATTGTTGAACCCAGTCCTGACTGTGATGGCTCCTCCCAAGGGAGACGAATGTCCAAAACAGAAGACAAAGATGAGGAGGTGACTTTAAGGGGACAAGTACATCAACAATAATTAGTTTAACTGGCCTCTGAAACTGGATCAAGATTCCAAAAACATGTCCACATGGGAAAATGAGTGATGGGATGAATGCCATGGAAACACACAAACTCAGTTGGGATTCTCTAAACAAGCTGGCTAAATTGATGGCGGTCAAACCCTTAAACCTCATTAGTCCCAAATCACTCCAAACACAAGTCCAGAGATAAATTCAGCACTTCATAAATCCCATTCTGGTCCTTATCGGACGGGCTGGTAGCTGCAGCTCGATAACAGCCTGCTCTGTTTACTGACGCCCGCTGGAACAGACGCTCACATTAAAGTGGCCCCAGGATTTAGCGAGTGAAGTCCGTAGCTTAGTTCTGAGTAAGCTGGGAGGCAGGGAGAGGATTTGGCTATCAAGAGGAGGAATGCAAATTATCAAAGGTTACTCTGACCATAACGGTTTCCTCTCACAGAATGAAACCTTCAATGTTTGATTGCTTTTTAAAACATTTTCTTCCTAAAATAACTAATTTTATTTGATGAATAGTGAATTTCCTTAAAGAAACCGATTTTAAATTGAAAACAGGCTTTCTGAGATTGAAGAAATATGTTGTTTCTAAAGTGTTCTCATGATGGCTTCTGTTATCGCTAAAACAAAATCCAGTTACTAAGACCAATAAATGTTTATTTTAAAATCTTACTTCTTCATGCTAGAGGGGTGGACTCACCGGTGAGTATGGGTGATTTCGTCCTGTCACTTTTGTTGTCCAGATTTCACTTTTTGTAACGTCTAGAACAGCCTCTGTACTCTCCAACTCTCACTCACTCACACACACACACACACACAAAGTAAACACAACCTTGAATTGGACAAGTGAGGATGTGAACACAGATTTTCTCTGATGCCAGAATAAGTTCAAGTTGCTAAGAATTAAAACATAAAAATCTATTTTTATCCTATATGGCTTTTTTTTGCTTGAACTTGCAGAATCTGTCATTCCCAGCCTGCAGGAACTGGAACCATCTCATTAAAAAATTCCCAGCATGCAGTGTTTATAGCCTGTTATTCAACCCTGGTGATGGATAGATCCGACCTATCACCAGCTCAGCTTGCTGACTCCTCAACCCGCTACACACACACACACACACACACACGTTAATCTTCTTGTTTTGTTTTTACTCGACGTCCTCGGTGAGTGGGCCCTTCCTGGCTGCGTCATGTTTAATTACATTTGTGTCACAAAGGAGGTGGGAGAAACGCCAGAGGTCAGAGTGATTCTGCTAATGAAGAAAAATAACGCGGCTGTCGAGGCCCCCCAGGAGCCCCAGGAGCAGGTCAACAGCAGCGCCTGCGGGTTCAAGTCTGAAGGTCAGAGGTCAATGTGAAGGCCAAGATTTGACCTCGACTTCCCCGATCGAGATGGGAGGGAAGAGGAGTTAAAATAAAAACATAAAAAATGAAACAAGAAAATGAAAAATGTTCATTTGTTTATTTGTTTACAGTACACTGACTGAATGGATATGTTTAACATCACCTAAAGTACAAAACCGACTTTTGCATTAAATCGTGCAAAAAGCGGACAATACAAATTAAAACAAAGCAGCAAAAATCCACTCAAAGTAACTAACAACACGAAGTGCAATCAAAAATGACCACAAATTTGTTTCTATTTTAAAAAAGGAAATAAGTGTGAAAATGTTTTTTATTGCACAAGTTTAATAAAAAACTGTTTAAAATCCTTTTGGCACTTAATGTAATTTTGAATTAAAAGTGACAAAAAACAAAATAAATTACTGCATTTTTACTGATGAAAAGGCTATGAGTTGAGAAAGTGTTTTGGAACTGAGGGTGAGTTTTTACTCGAGCTCCTCCAGAACTTTTGGAGTTCAACTCCCAATCAGAGGCGCCGTTTCTTCAGCTGTAATGCCACCGTTCACGTTCCAAACCGGAGCGTTGCGGTAAATCAGGAACTGTACGGATATCTGGGAGGGAGAGTTAAGAACGATTTAAACGACTGTTCATCTGTAAAAACAAATGGTAAATGGCCTGTATTTGATACAGCACCTTCTAGACTCCAGGAACCCCCCAAGGCTTTACAACACAGTCATTCACACCCTGGTGATGACGAGCTACGCTGTAGCCACAGCTGCCCTTGAGCACACGGACAGATTCAAGGCTGCCGTACACAGGTGCGACCGGTCCCTCTGACCACCACCAGTTAAGTGTCTTGCCCAAGGACACAACGACAGACTGAGCGGGGCTCAAACCTGCAACCTTCCGATCACGGGGTGAGCACTCGACTCCTGTGCCACCGTCGCCCCGTATTGAAAACTACAGAAAAGCAGGCCATTGTTTTTAGTAGAATAGTTTGTCAGATTAACACTCAACAGGCTGCATTGTGGTGCAGCTTGTAGAAGTAGTGCCTCGCTGCAAGAAGGTTGCAGGTTCAAATCCCTGCTGTAGCCTTTCTGTGCAGAATTTGCATGTTCTTCCCATGCATGTGTGGACTTCTTAGGTGTGTTCTTGCTGTGTTGTATCTCTAATTCCACGCTGTAGCTCTTTTTTAAAACACAGAGCAGTTTTGTTTACCTGTTTTCCCGCTACGTAGCGGGAAAACAGGTAAACAAAACTGCTCTGTGTTTTAAAAATGAACTACAGCATGGAATGTGTGGACTTGTTCTTGGTACTCAAGCATGACTGTTCAGGATATTGAACCCTGGTGTGGGAGGTCGACCATCCAGCATGTTTAGAGGTTTCAGCCACTCGGAACTCAAGAAAGACTCAAACATGTTTAACTGTAGGTTTTCAAAGTGCTTGTGTGGTGAAATATTTGTTGTCACTGCTTAAAATGTGCTCAAGTTTTCCTGATTTTACACGGTCTTAACGTCATGTAAAGCTACAACAATCATTACTGCAGACAGGAGAAGCGTCGTCCCTGCATGTATTTGGACCTTGATGCTGACAGCAGCATTTTCACTCAGACTGAGTCAAGAAGGAACTTCTTCAGACCGAGTTAGGACACGTTAAAACTTAAGCGATGGCGTTTATGCAGTTTTCCCGAGCTGATTTCTCATTTAAAGGATACAATGAGGTCTAGAGAGAGGGTGCCAAGGCTGCCGATGAGCCAGGGTAAGTGATGCACCAGGTAACTGCTCTCTCCCTGGCCCGAGTCGGGGTTCTTTAGCAGGACACTCAGACCGTATGTGGTGTTCCCCAGGATGACGAGTGCAAACAAGAAGTAGGACACTCCTTCTGTAGACTTCCTCTTAAACTGTGGGGGGAAAACAAGACAACCAGAAAGGAAGTGAACAAGGCAAAAACAAATGTTTGATGTTATCTCAGCAGCTACAGAACAGAATAGTTTTTTAGTTTTGGTGTTCGGTGTTTTCACAGAATCCATTTTCTGGGTTCATGTTTTATAAATAAATTTTAGTTAATAGTTGTACAATTTTATTTAGTTCTGTTGTTTTGAAAATGTGCATTTGGTAGCGAGACTTTTAGCTACAAAGTTAAAAAGTGAATTTTTTTTTTAATTATAGGAGGAGTGTACCATTTTGGAAGCGTGTTTCCGTCACATCTCGAAATAACGAAACGCTAAAACACGTTAGTACATTATAACATTTTGCGTTAAAATGACATTCATATAATTATATAACAAGAACTGATCTTGTTATTAAAAAATTATTTTTATTTTTTCCTTGCATGGACGGAAACATGCTTCCATATTAAACACTGACATTTGGAGCTCAAATGTAAACAGCTGCCATGTCCAACTGTGATTCCTGCCGCTCTGTTGTACTCACGTTGGTGTACATTTGAGGAAGTCTGGAGCAGAGGTAGAGGACTGATGACAGAGATCCGATGGTGAAACCAATAATCTCTTTGGTGGTAAAAGCCTGACGTGATAGATGAGACATTATAGTAATTATAAAATAACCTGTTTTTGGTTTCTTTCCTCCCGCTCTGTAAAAGGCCTCACCTTGATGGAGTCATTATCCGTGGCTGAGAGCAAGGAGCGACTTCTGAACCCAGAGGAAATTGTTTCAGGTTGATGCTCCAACCCCGAGAAACGAGCAAGGCTTGCAGTAAGACTCAGGACACAGGATAAGCTGAGCACATGCAAAACCGTTCTGCCTGGTAAAGATGCAACAACGGAGGTTACCAGAACTACTTCTAAATAATACGGGATTAAATCTGAGTAGGACAAAGGATGACCAAGAGGTCCAAATAAGAGACACAGAACAAGAAAATAATTTAGGTTTGAATAGAAATACCTACATTAGCACTTACTTTGAGACCTTTTGTGTCTGAACTTGTAGTACGAGTACATGCCCAACATTACCAAATCGGCCACGACATAATAAATTGCAGTATATCGCTGGATAACAAGAATAAACAAGCACAATCTGAAATCATTGACTGCTGCTTTGGAAATGTATAGACTCTTGTGTAAAACAGACTTTGGACTCAGGCAATCAGTGTCCTCAGTCACCTGAATTGGAAGTTGGTCTGCCAAATAGGAGCCCACCAGATTACAGGAATCCCCTGCCAGCCACAGCAGCAGAAACCAAATGGAAAGGGCGCTGTCCATGTTGCCCGACTTACACGAGCTGTAATACTGTCTGCAATCAGAGACAAATTAGTTATACGCTGCATTTTAATAAAGTCAGTCGATCCAGAGCTGAAAGAGTGATTTAACCCAAACACACGTACGGAAGAGAGGACACCATGAAACAGACAATGGAAAGGAGACCAAGGTAGACACTGGCCCTGTCCCGCCCATCCCGGGCACATTCCCCAAGGCCCTCCCAAACCCATTTGGACCCATTAGGACACAAGGATGTAAAGTTTCCTGGCGTGCTCCATCCCAAAGTGCTTTGTGCGAGGACTCCATCCACCTCCATGATCTACAGACAGAGAGACTTTTGCTGGTAAACAAAAACAACTTCTCTGTAATAATTATGCCACCTTTGTTAATAACACTTTCTTAGATTGAACAAAAATATTCTAACTTCTCTCTGTGACAAGCTTATAAACAGTATTTAGATGAATTACAGTTACATAACAAAGAAATGTCTCGACCATATGGTACATTTCACGTGAATCAACCAAATAAAGAACAACATTTATTAAATGAATCCATCACAAATGTATCACATTTCTAAAAGATTGCTCAACTGTATGAAAAAAACAATCGGAAGGAAATTCACCAACCGGCTAACAAAAACCCTAAATATGGCGGACTAATTGATGCCATGAGTGGCGTTTGATTTAAAAAACACCTTTAGTGAACCAAAAAAAGATTATTCTAAAGAAAATGTGTTTATTTCTTACCTGTGTGGACGCTAAACGGAGTCCTTCCTCACAACAACGCAACCGTGAACAAAAAGCCAGCAGACGACAAACAAGTCGAAACGAGAGTCCGAGAGCTGATTGGTTGTTTCTTGTCACGTGACTTATTCCTTGTGACCTTCAAAATAAGATATCACAGGTGTTACGTGGAGATGTGTCCCCCCTGGAGAAATGTTTTTCATACCATTTTGGCTTTAAACTCAGTTGTTTTTTAAATAGTAATAATAGTTTATGAACTTAAGCTTGATAAAATAATTATTTTACCTTTTTTATTTCTGCCAGGGGAAACAATCCTGAAAACTAAATATTGCCATTAAATTAGATTTTCCTTGAAAATGAATTGAGACATTTCACAAGTAGCTACTACATATAACTGATTCCTTACTTCATGAAATACATATCCTGGTATTTTTATTTATACCTCAAAAATGTGATTGGCAAAGGCTTGAACAGATCAAACAGCTGAACTCGATTATTAGAAATCTAAGCAGATGATGTTCTCGATGGGGGACAGATCTCGACACAACACCGGTGTACATTTCAATAATTTTTCCACTTATAGTTCTGTAGCTATTCACCAGTCGACTACATTTTTGTTCTGCTGATTTGTGGAGCAACCGTCTTGCAGGTTAACTTGCATATCTGCAGAAAAGAACATGTTGTGAATTCTCACACTTCGCATAAACTCATCACATATCTGCGAGCATTGTAAACTGGATCAGGACTATTTGTCCTCGCATAATTGTTGGGTAATTCTTTTTAAGCAGTATAATCCTTCTGGGTATGCATTTTAGCACGCATACGTGAAAAACAATATACATTTATTACCAGGTTAATAAATCATATTTCATGAAAATGTCTTTGTTTCAAACTTTTAAAACTGAAAGCACATTTTAAGACAGATTCTATATTAAAAGTAAAGAGAGGGAAAATGTCTAAAACACGTGAGTTGAGTTGAAGATGTAGAACCTACCTGACGCTAACTCAGATGTTAGACAGGAGAGGAAAACCGGGCTTGTTGCTGCTGTTTTAAATTTCTGAAGTGTGATGCAAAGGGTCAGCTGACACGCTGTCAGACTGACGACTCAGCACCAGGCTTAGTGAGGTAAACTCCTGGGGTTTTATTTTCAGGTTTCCTGTAATGTCATGTGCTTTTCTCGGACATGTTCCGATCTGGACAAAAGCCGCTGATGCTGATATATCCATTTGGGAATTTAATAAAGCTAAAGCGGATTATTTTACAAAAAAAAATTAATAAATGATAAACATGAATAATTATTCTGCAAACTTTAGACCTGTCTCCTGAGATGTCAGCTGCTATTATTGATCAGCCAAGGTCAGTTTACAGAGCAGATTTTATGTTAAGCCTTGTTTATTGTAGTTAATCAAAGTTGATCACAATGCCCTGCGCTACAGTACACGTCCATAGCTACAGTGAAACCTTAGTGAAATCTCAGTGTGTACAGTCTATGAGTGAAACAAACGTAGCCCAGCCGGCTGCAAACTGTTTGTGCGTGAGCTAGAGGGGGAAATGGCGCCCTCGAGTGGCAACAAGTTGGAATTAACCGTAAAAGAACATTTTAGCCTTCCGCAGCTGAAAAAAAATCATAATCTTTGTTCTTGTACTCTTGATAGTATTGATTTTAAGGATAAGAAGAAAGAGGATAAGAAAGTTATAACATTTTAGCCTCCTTATCTGAGCTGAAAAATGAAACTCATGTTTGTTCTAATATTGGGTGTATTAATATCAAGGAAGAGGGAACTAATTTTTTGGAGGTACAATAGTCACTTAGTAGACACTATCCATCCATCCACCCATCCATCCATTGTCTGAACCCACTTGTCCATGTAGGGTCGCGGGGGGCTGGTGCCTATCTCCAGCGGTCAATGGTCAATCAGGCGGGGTACACCCTGGACAGAGAGCCAGTCCATCGCAGGGCAACACAGAGACACACAGGACAAACAATCATGCACACACACACACACACACACAGACACACACACACACACACACACACACACACACACACACACACACACACACCTAAGGACAATTTTGACGGACACTTAGTAGACACACGATTTGCATATTATTTTCAAATAAAAATCTGTGATGTATTTGTGGTGTTGGCAACAAGGGAACCTGCTTTTTTCTCCAATTGCTTAACTTAAAGGGACATTACGGAGTTTTGAATTTTTATGCTCGTGATTGCCCCCTCAGGCCAAAAGCGTAACGGCAGCTTCAATAGCAGGCTCGTGCACGAGGCGCGCATGCTGTACATGCACACTCCTTAACAAAAATAGCAGCTGAGACAGTCCTGTGTGTGTGTGTGTGTGTGTGTGTGTGTGTGTGTGTGTGTGTGTGTGTGTGTGTGTGTGTGTGTGTGTGTGTGTGTCTGTGTGTGTGTGTGTGGCCCGGAGGACAGAGGACAAGAGAACACGCAGCTAATTACTTAAATAATTTGATTCTGTACCTTTCTCTTCAGCACAGCCGACAAAGGTTTATGATGGGTCAGTCCTCCTGCATGCTCAGATCATTCCCTTCCCTTGCTTGAAAAATTGTTCCAAAATGAAAGTTGAACCCACATCTTTTTTATCTGTGAATTCAAAGCCATTCGGCGAGTCTCAAATAAAAATGTGGGCGTCATAAAGTGCCAGCAATGTCTTTTGTATCTGTAACATTTATATCCTTGAAGACAGCTGAAACAACGTTCAATGGCTATTTTGTTGCTAATTTGCAGGAAATATCTAGAAGAAAGTAGCTAAGGGTCCTCAGAAATGTAGCTAGGTTCATCACTAGACGTTAGGAACAGCTACAAAGTTGCTGAGTTGGCACTACCTCTCTCTCTGCTGCTAAATCTACGGATAGCAAACACTACGGGCTATGCCTGAGCGTGAACGCGCATGAAGCAGCCTGCTCGACCCGAGCAGCTCTCTTTTTCTGTGATTTTACAGAAAAACAGGCAATCACAATAAAAATGCCAGGGCTCATTCTACAGGACCAGGGCATTGCAGGAGAATGTATGAAGAAGAAATGTATTACTGTATTTCTATACGTTTTGGCTGTCAAACTTCCATAATACCCCTTTAAAATTGAGTAAAAATTGTATTTATGTGACATTATTAAATTCAATGGTTGTGAAGAGTGTACTGGGGCTTTCATATCTGGGGCTAAAAGTCCTAAATGATGCAATCTGAGGTTTTCCATTGAAAAAATATAAATGAAGAGTTGAATTTACGCCGTCCAGTGGCGATAAGTAAAACTACACCCTGACTCTGTTAAGCAAAAGGGATGGGGATTTAGCACCCTCAAGTGGCAAAAGGCTGGAATTGTTCAACTGGACCCTCATAACATTTAAAGGATGTGAAGAGTTTATTTGGGCTTTCATATCTTGGGCTTAAAGTGCTAGATGCCACTACAATCTCAGAGGTTTTCAAACGGCAATTATTTATCAATAGAGAGGTGACTTTACGCCCTCCAGTGGCGAAAAACGGAACTACATCCTGGGTGTGTGTTCAACAGTTAAAAGCAAATGGGATGGGGATTTGGCGCCCTCAAGTGGCGAAAAGAAAGAACTGTTCAGCTGAACTGATAGACCCCTTATCTCAGTATAGCTGAAAAATAAAAACCCTCATGTTTCCTGTCTTCGTGGAAGAATTAATAAGGAGGAAACATTTTTTAAAAAGTTACAATAGTTACTTTGTAGATAGACTTTTTGTACATTATTTCAAAATAAAAGGCTTTGATATTGTTACGTCCCCGACATGAGATGGTAAAATGTGAAGGATGGGGATAACATAAAAACTGGCGGAGGAGTTTAAAATGGGTTTATTTGTACAAATAGGTATTAAAAACACAAGCAAACAGATGGCGAGCATTATTAAGATAATGCTAAACAAAAAGACTCTCAAAAAGGTCAACATTAAAAGAGCAGTTACCAACATTAAAAACACCTGGTTAAAACTTATTAAAAGTTTCACCAAAACAGAAGGTGTTTCTAAATCCACAAAGTTGATAAACGTGCTAAAACAATTCATTGACATAAAACACCTGGTTAAAACTTATGTTAAAAGTTTTACCGGAACAGAAGGTGTTTTAAAACCAAAGTCAATAAAATTGCAACAAACGAAGTTAACCTTAAAAACCAACGAACACAGTCAATACTAGGTGACATGCACAAAAGATCCATGTGGATCACTCAGAGTTAAAACTACCAAAGTTAAAACTCTTCAACTCAAATGGGTTGAAAAAAAAATGAGGCCTGGAAAACAGCAGAACACCTGCACTGCTGCCACCCAGACTGCTGAAGGCTCAGCCTTTTTATCCAAGGTGTGGCTCATCAGGAGGATTCAGCTCAGCTGTGCTCCTCAGCAGCCTGGAAGAGAGGAGGAGGAGGGGCGGTGTCCAGTCAATCAACAGAGTTGGGTGATCCTGGCTGCTTTTCCCCTCTTCAGGCTGGCAGCCAGGACAGATATATTTATGGCTTTAGCAACAAGGAAACCTGCTGTTTTTCTCCAATAACTTAGCATAAAGAGGAAAACTTGTATTTATGTAACAATGTTAAAGGTTGCGAAGAGTTTATTTGGGCTTTCATATCTTGGGCTAAAAGTGCTAGATGCCACTACAATCTCAGAGGTTTTCAAACGGCAATTATTTATCAATAGAGAGGTGAATTTACGCCCTCCAGTGGTGAAAAGCCGGGACTACATCCTGGGTCTGTTTACAGTTAGAAGCAAAGGGGATGGGGATTTGGCGCCCTCAAGTGGCGAAAATAAAGAACTGTTCAGCTGAAATGATAAGCCTCCTTATCTCAGTGGCTGAAAAATAAAATCCTCATGTTTCCTGTATTCGTGGAAGAATTAATAATTCGGAGGAAGAACAACATTTATAAATTTAAGATAGTCACTTTGTAGATATACTTTTTGTACATTCTTTCAAAATAAAAGGCTATGATATATTTGTGGCTTTAGCAACAAGGAAACCTGCTGTTTTTCTCCAATTATTTAACATAAAGAGGAAAACTTGTATTCATGTAACGATGTTAAAGGTTGTGAAGAGTTTATTTGGGCTTTCATATCTTGGGCTAAAAGTACTAGATGCCACTACAATCTCAGGCCCTGTCCACACATAGCCGGGGATCTGCCAAAACGTAGATATTTTTCTACGTTTTGGCCTGTCATCCACACGAAAACGGAGTTTTTTCACACGAAAATGGATCTTTTTAAAAACTCTGATTAAAAAGATCTGTGTTTTCTCCGTTTTGGGTGTCTGTGTGTGGACGGACAAAACCGGAGTTTTAAAGTGCTAGATGCCACTACAATCTCAGAGGTTTTCAAACGGCAATTATTTATCAATAGAGAGGTGAATTTACGCCCTCCAGTGGTAAAAAGCCGGGACTAAATCCTGGGTCCGTTTGACAGTTAGAAGCAAAGGGGATGGGGATTCGGCACCCTCAAATGGCGAAAATAAAGAACTGTTCAGCTAAACTGATAAGCCTCCTTATCTCAGTGGCTGAAAAATAAAATCCTCATGTTTCCTGTATTCGCGAAATGATTAATAATTAGGAGGAAGAACAACATTTATCACAATAGTCATCACTTTGTAGATAGACTATTTGTACATTGTTTCAAAATAATAGGCTATGATATATTTGTGGCTTTAGCAACAAGGAAACCAGCAGTTTTTCTCCAATTATTTAACATAAAGAGGAAAACTTGTATTCATGTAACAATGTTAAAGGTTGTGAAGAGTTTATTTGGGCTTTCATATCTTGGGCTAAAAGTGCTAGATGCCACTACAATCTCAGAGGTTTTCAAACGGCAATTATTTATCAATAGAGAGGTGAATTTACGCCCTCCAGTGGTAAAAAGCCGGGACTAAATCCTGGGTCCGTTTGACAGTTAGAAGCAAAGGGGATGGGGATTCGGCACCCTCAAATGGCGAAAATAAAGA